CGGAAGAGAGGTCAGATGCTGCAATGGGTGCCCAGGGAGTCACGGCAGCTGGAGGTGTTCACACACCTCACAACCTGGAGATGCTGTGCTATGGGACACGGCGTAGAGGGGAGGTTCTGGTGGGAGGTGGGCAGTTGGATGATGATGGAGGACTTTTCCAGCCTCAGTGATGCTAAGATTCTGTGCTTCTATGAAACGGTGGTGGGGTGCACAAATGGTTGGCAGTGCTTTGTGAGCTGTGGGATCCGAAGGCAACATCAGATGGCTCTGGGTGTAGGAAAGGCCCAAGCTTTCCACGTTCAATAGTTAAAAACATGAAATGTCCCCTTTTAGGGTCAGTGGAGCAGAACCCACCTGCCCAGACACTGCAGTACACACAGCTTCAATAACAGAGAAGCTGGAAACCCAAACATTTTGTTGCGGCCCAACACGAAGTCATTGAATCACAGAACCATAGAATGGTTTGGGTCAGAAGGGACCTCGAGACCACCTGCTTCCATCCCCTGCCATGGGAAGGGCCGCCAACCTCTAGATCAGACTGACAAGGAACTAACAGAGCCTGGAACACCTGCAGGGATGGGGCTCCCATTGAACACCCCAAACCAGGAGCCCTGCAGCAATCACTGATTCACGTGACGCAAACACTCTGTGTCAGAACTACCAGCCACAGCCACAGCACTGCTGTGCTGCCTGCACCCCCAGCCCCTGCTGCCTCTCAGGGCTGCCCCCAGCAGCACAGCGCATCCATTCCAGGCAGGAATGTTGGCAGTGCTGCTGGTTCAGGCCATGAGCTTCTGATTCAAGGGAGAAACTCGAGGTTCCTCACCCTGCGTGCAAGCAGGACGAAGGCACAACAATTTCTCCATCCAGGAGCCAGCAGGTGCTGTTTGTTTTCCATTACACCCAACACATCCTTCCTCACTGCTCCCACGATGCACAGAAAGCCAAGGGACACCCCCTGCTGTGTGCCACCCCCACCGTACCTCCTGCTTCTCCATTGGACTGACTGTGCTCCTTCAGCTCCTCTGCATTATCCGTGCCCTCCACCTCCTGCCCTTTGCTCAGGTCGCACTCCTCCAGAACCTCCTGTCCCTCTGGAAAAAGCAAAGCAAATTGGGAAAAGAAATGACTATTTCTGCCGCACTGTTTCCGAGCCCCAACCCCCAGCACTGCTCTCTTATTGCTGCACCCACTGCAATTCCATGGAGCCAATCTGTCGCCCAGAAGTTGCACACAGATTCCCAGACACAAGCGGGCACCAAATCTTTACTAAATCAAATCATCCCAACATGCTGTGAACGTTAACAGACAGCAAGAGCAGCGATGCCCTCGTCCTCACAACCCCCTCCCTACAAAAGGGAGGATGCTGGGGCTGTACCTGCGGCCTTGGGCTGCTCCTGGGGATTGCTGAGGTCCATGCTGCTCTGTGAATCTGCAAAAGACACAGAAAAAAACAGCTCTGAGCTGCTCCAGATTTGCAAAGCTGCTCACAGTGTTAATCTGAGAGCTCCGTCTTCTTCGCTGGAAGCCAAACTGAAAAAGCAAAACTCAAATAATTACCTAATGATCATCACGTGTCAGCATACAGGCTTTTACATATGCCCCAAATGAGAGGTTCTGCATTTCTCAGTGCAACCTGCAGCTCAGCACCGGCTCGCCCTCTCCACTGCCTTCCCCTCTGCGCCCCGCGAGCGCTGACACGGATGGAGCAGAAAGCAGCAGGAAGTGCCACAGCCCCTCTTCCACAGCCCAGGACAGACCTGCAGCCCTTGTGAGAGCTGTTGGCACCGACACGAGCCCAGTTCCCCTCTGGGAGCTGTGATGGGGATCCCAAGGGATGCTGGAACCCGCAGAGCCCTGCAGCTGCAGGCTGGCTTCCAGGCTTCACCCTCCTCACGGTGTCACAGCCATCTGCTTCCTTCCTCCTTCCTTTCCTCTCTCTTTTTCCTCTTTTTTTTTTCTACAGATCTGAACGTCTTTTCTCCGCTTTGCACATAACCCAGGAGCAGCACCAGGAGGGACAAAGCCCTTTCCTGGTGGTCAGCAGCTCAGCCAGGAGGTGTCAACTGCAGCCCACTGTTATCTATCTGTGCCACCACCACGCATGGAACATTTCCGTGGTCTCCACCAAGTCGATGCATAAAGTTCTGTTCACTCTGTGTGGAGAAATGGAGTTTTCAGACAGGGCTGCCCAGAGCTGCACGGCTGGATGAGCCCAGCAAGGAAAGCAAAAAGAGATGCACCAGCAAGGAAAGCAAAAGGAGATGCACCCAGCACAGCTCTTCAACATTTGGCTCCGTCGCAGCCCTCAAATGGGCACTCTGCACCCATTTCTCAGCAGTGGGTCTCAGAGCCGTGCTGGGGGATGTGGTGTGGGGGAGGGGGTGGGTTGGATTTGGTGATCGTGGTGGTTCTGAGTGGTTCTGGTCTGTGATTCTGTGCTGCACACTGTTCCCATTGCCCTTAATGAGCTCTCAGCAAAGAGCAGGAAGAAAAGAGACGGTGAGGGCAGGCGTTGCAGTCACCCAAACCATCAGCACCCTGCACTCCTGGGGCTGTGGACAAGTTGTGAAGCATTGCCAGCTATGAAACATCCCCTGTAATTAAACCAGACCTCCTGTCCTTGCACGAGGACAAGCTTCTCGTGGAGCCTCTCTTCCTTGAGACATAAATTCTGCCTTAACTTCTGTCGTGAGAGAAGTCACAGGGCTGGATAACAAGAAGTTCAAATATTCACTCCATCTGCATCAGAAATACTCAATTGCCTCATATTTAAAGCTGCTAATTTGCCTTTGTTTCATTTTACCGTAGCAGGAAGTGTGAAGCGCAGAGAGGCAAATGGGCCCAACGACCCAGAGCAGCGACACGGAAACGTCAGCCAATGCACAGCACGCAGAAAAAGCTCTCCCTGCTGTGCGTTCTGACCTTACACCCAAATAACGTGGACACTCCATTAAACGAATCCTCACAGCTCTGAAAACAACCGATGCTTCGGCAAGAGGCTCAAATCGCTGCTATTCTGTGCCGCTTTGTCTGGCCGGCTCTGCCTTAACGACCAGCAGGGCACAGCCAGCCCTACGGCAGCGGCTGCATCTCAGCAGCACGGAGACTTTCTCTGTGCACCGGTTGACGTGAAACCATCACAGATCCCAGCCCACGGGCAACTGCCGGGCAGCACGGCCCTCAGCATCTCCTCTCTGTGCAGAAGCAGCCCGGTCCTTGCGTCGCTTCCAGGCTCAGCGTCCATCCACCCCCCCCCCCCCGCCGCGCATTCACCTGAAGAAGCTCCCTGTAGGCTTAGCAGCATCTCCGTATGAAACCCCCGGTTGTCAACGTTCCATCTCAGATCTCTTCCCCAACTCAGATACTCCAACCCCAACCCTTCACGGCGCTGAACGCGAGCGCCCCAATCCCCAACCCCGCACAAAAACTCCCCAGCATTCCAAAAAAACACGAGGTGGGAACTCACAGAGCGCTTCTGTCCTGGCAGCGAGGGGTCCGAGAGCCACCGGCTGGGCAGCGGGCACAGGGAGGACACCGGGTGCCGTGGCTGCAGCCGAGCACGGAGCTCTGTTACGAAGCAGAAGTAACGATGCTGTGCCCCCGACAGCCCTCCTCGGTCCTCCCGTGTGCCGCGCCAGGAGGCGAAACGAGCACGAATATTCAAATGGGTCGTGAGAGGAGCGGCGAGGCACCGCGGGGCGCAGCCACGTCAGTGCGCCGTCCCGCAGCCCGGCCCGTCCGTAGAAGCAACGGAAGAGTCTGCCTGGATTGTAGCTGATAAAAGCACTTTGGGCCACGGGATTGGGTAGGGCTGGAGCTGCGATGGCCTTACCTCTGTGCTTCCCGAGCCACACCATTGCCTTCTCACTTCTCGACCCGACAGCGCTGCAGAGCCGACGTCCTTTTACATCCCTTTTGCCGCCGGCCCTCTGAGCGCAGCGCGGAGCACAACAGCCCCCTTCCTCCTCTCGGCCTCTCCCAAAAGGCCCAACACGCCAAGAGAAAGCAGCCCGGCCCCTGCCCGCAGGAAGGCTCCCACAGCCACGGCAGAGCAAAGCAGCGCAGCCCCTCGTGCTCCTCGCCGATTTCCCACTGACCTCAGCAGCCCTCGGAACCCATGGAAACAGAGCAGTGCGGCACTTCTCGCACCCGGTGAAGCCGTTTAACGCTGCCTTCTACACCGCTTCCATCCCTGAATGCGACCTCAGCCGGGCTGATCCTCCACCCCACCTACAGCCCCAGACCCGAAGCGCCGTTTCCACGTTAACTCCTGAACGCGCCAAAACAGGAAGGCGAAGCGACTTCTTCAGCAACTGCAGCTACCAGAGGGAGGAAACGAAGCCACGGAGAGCAGAACTGCTGCTGAGATACGGCGGCAGCCCCTCAGGCAGTCCCAGCTAAGTCAGATTGTGTGCGAGATATTGCTGCAACGCAAAATCGCGTTTCAGAGCGCAAAGGACACGGATGCTTTCCAATAGAAAACTGCGCCTAATTCAAAATAACCAAACCCTCGCGTTATCAGCACGCAGAGGAATCCGGGCTGAGGGGTCCCAGCAGGACTCAGACTGCAGCCTCTCACCAAGGTCTTGGGGCAGCATGGGGCGATCCCGGCTCTGATGGGGGCACTTTGTGGAGCCGTGTTCCAGGCTTGTTAAAAGAAAAGCCAGAACGATCTGTTTTCCTTCCTCAAGGAAGGAAAGGGCTGCAGCCCCGCACTACCGCACGCTTCGGGCTTTCGCTGCTCCCGAAAGCTGCAGGGAGGCTTTGCAAGAGGAGAGCAAGCAGCCGCCCGCTCGTTCCTTAGCGCGCACTGTGAAGGCTCAGGCGGAGGGCGCTGAGCCCAACCGCATCGGGACGCTGCTGAAATGGGATGGGGAGAAATGAAGGCGACCCCCCGCCGCCGCCTCAGCGCTTCTCGCGGTTCGGTTCCCCCGCAGCCCTGAGCGGCACCGGAGCTCCAACGCCGCGGGGTCGGCGCCGCGCGGCCGCTCCTCACCTGCGCGATCCGAGCGCTCCGCTCCGCGGCCCCGCGTTCCTCCGCATCCGGAGGGAGGGGAACGGAACGGAGAGCGGCGGAACGGAGCGGGGGGGAGGGCTGTGACCCCGCCGGCACCGGGCGCTGCGGTTAGCTGCCGGGCATGGGGCAAGGGCAGAGGTGAGCCGAGGTTGTGGTGCTCGTTGGAGCTGTTGGAGGAGCACAACGGCGATCCTCGGGGTGGAACAACCCTCCATGGGACGGGCTGGGAGAGCTGAGGGTGTTTAACGTAGGGAGGAGGAGGCTCCCGGATGCCTACAGTGGCCTTTCAGTAATGGTAGGAAGAAGAGGACAGACTCTTTGGGAGAGCCCGCTGTGACAGGACAAGGGAAATGGCTTCTAACTGAAAGAGAGGAGATTTAAGGAAAAAGATTACAGTAAGAACGGTGAGGGCTGGCACAGTTTGTCAGCGAGGTGGCAGTGCCCCATCCCTGCAGACACCCGGGGTCAGGGGATGGGTTCTGGGCTCCTGATGGAGCTGGGGGGTCCCCATTCAGTGCAGAGCGGGGCCAGACAGCCTTTGGTGGGGTTCCTGCCACTCAAATGATTCCATGAGTCGGGGGGCAGCGCTCCCCCAGGTGCACTCCCATGGGCAAAGCCAAGGATCCCCCCCACAGGATCCCATGGATCCCAGCCATTCATCCCACCCGGAGCTGGCGAACCTCCAGCTCACGTCTCCGAGCGCAAATTCGTCACGGGATTAAAGGAAAACAATAAGACTTAAAAGCACCGTTTCTGCTCTGGGATCCACCACCCCTGCAGCAGCCGCACGCAGCGGTGCCCACGCACACGAGCAACCTTCCCACGTGGTTTCCTTTGGGTGTCAGTGGCCCCGATGCTGCAGACACGTCACATCAACCACCGCCGATCTCTTCGCGTCGTGACGCCCCCAGGCGCTGCGCTCCTTGGACTCGGGGCCACGTGGAACGGACTCCACTCTTGGGAGCACCCGAGATTAGCGGAGATAAGACTGAGAGCCAGGCTCTCGTCGTCTGTTTTCCTTCGTGAAATAGCGCTGCTGTTGGAAAACAAAGCAAATTACAAGAGCATGTGGGAGGAAAGGCAGCCAAGGGAGGGGCCGGGATCCCTCCTCCCAGCGGGGCTCTGTGTGGGGTTGGGATCCCCTCCACTGGGGCCATGTGTGGGGCAGCCCTGTGGCGGTGAGGAGGGCAAGAAAGGCCGTTGGAACCCCCCCCATCCATTGGAATCTCCCCCCCCATTGGAACCCCCCGTCCGTTGGCCTCGCACAGCAGCGGCCGTTGAAGGGGGTTGGCATGGCAGGGGGTGGTGGGAGGCCGTGCTGCCCCCAGCAAGCCCTGCTGGGGGTGGTGGCCATCGTGGCAGTGGTGGCAGAGGCACAACAGGGCGCTCCGGGAGCAGGTAGAGAGGGGGGCTGAAGGCACAGCCCCAACCCAGAGGGGCGCAAGGGGATGCGGGGGGGCTGAGGGATGGGGGCACCTCATGGGAAGGACCTTCAGCACTGACAGCCATGGGGTGGGGAAGGGTCTGGCTGCGATCCCCCAGCACGGTGCTGGAGGGGCTGCCTTGAGCCCACAGAAGCCTCAGCACCCACCTGGTGAAGCCGTCGTGTCACCACCATCCCACTGAGCCCTGGGGAGGTGGGGAGCAGGCAGCAGGATCCTGCCAGGACGGAGCAAACAGCAGCACGGTTGGATTTCTATCTGTAATATTCTTCATCCTTTTCCCTACAGCAAGAGCTGCACCTGAGGAAGAGCAACTTTCCGTTGGCTTTTTTCAGAAGAATGTGGTCTATGGCAACGACCAGAGCGCAGGTAAACCTGCCTGACTGCACAAACACAGCGCGAGGCCTCAGGAGGCTCCTGGGGTGGCACTGAGGTACCATGAGCATTCGGTAAAGCACTCCAGAACACCGCCCTGATGGCACGCAGCGATGGGAAGGGCTGAGCTGGGCAGTGCGTGCATCTTCTGGTGCTGCAGGGGAAGCAGTGACGTCCAAATGAGGGATGGACCCTCAGTGCCCCAAATGCTGCTCTGGGTTCGGCCCTCGGTCGGCTCCCAGCTCCTGGGGATGGTTCCTTTCTGCTGCCTCAATCCTAACACAAGAAACAAAGTCGGCCTCCAGCTCTGTGCGCTCCCAAAGTATTTCGTGGTTTCATTCAATATAAACATCCCTCATTCTCTCTTCATTCTTACTTTACTTCATCCTCTCACTTTGCAGAAAATGTTTACGTTAAGGTGTTCACCAACAGCCCAACCCTGGTGTGTATGGATTTGACTCTTTCTCAAGATGAAGTAATAGATCCCAGGTACTCGTGGACCGGCCCAGATGGGAGGAATTTAGAAGGTGAGGAGCTCAGCGCTGCCCACACGGCGTTTCCGCTCTTCTCCCACTGCCTGAGCCGCTGTTTCCATGCTCAGGTGTGGAAACGGCCCCTGGGGGGGGGCTGGGAATCGGGGAAGCTGGGGCAGGAAACCCACACACCTCTCCTTGCGAGGGGAAAAGCTGAGCACAAATGGCTGGGTAGAGGCTGCTGCCCCCAAAATCACATTTTCCTTCTTCCTACTGATGCCGCTCTGTACAGCGGGGCCGAAGCGTCGCACAGCCCTTGGGTTGGTCCCCCAAATTCTGGCCTTGAAATACGTTTCCTTTCTCTCTCTGAAATGCTTGGGATGAAGGGAAACATCGCCCCAAGTCCCAGCTCTCCAATTCAGCCCATTTCAGCCTAAAAGAACCCAGAGTGCCGCAGAACAGCACCACACACCTCCTCCTCTTGGACTGCATTGGATGAGCGCAGCACAGGATGCCAAGCATCCCCACCCATCTCAGCCCTCCTGCTTCCATCCTAGGGCAAGGATACGCAAACCTCACAAGCTCTGGGGAGCTGGTGCTGCTGGGCTTCCAGGAGTCCATGTCTGGAGCCTACAAGTGTGTGCTTTCCCACAGAATCATAGAAACCTCAACACAAAAAGAAGTAGCTGTGACCAACACCTACAGGTTCATGGTGTACGGTAAGGTGGCAAGCTGATGCACTCAGCCCTTGTGGTTCTTTGGGTTTGTGGCAGGCCTGTGGATTTCAAAGCTTGGTGAGTGGAGTGCTAACATCCTCTCCCTGTATGTATTCATACATTAAATAACCGCCACCAGGAATATATGGCAACTTCAAGAGTAAAACGCAAAGCTCCGTCCTCCACGAGAACCAACCCACCTACACAGCATCTGCAAACCAGGACTGTATGCCTGTGGTCCTGAGCAGCTCCAGCACTGCTCAGGGTGTCCCCACCCCACAGAACCACAGCACCCAACCTCACCTCGTCCCCATCCACGCCGTGACACCACAGATGTGAAGGGAAGGGGGGCACTGGGCTGTTCCCTGCTCACCTCCTGTTTCTGGCAGCATACAGGGAAGCCAACCACGTGTACCAGGTCTCGGTCCGTTTCACTTCGAAGGGATGCGAGCTGGCAGCCAACGCGCGGTTCGTGGAGGAGCTGAAGAAGATCCTGGAGGATCTCATCTCCGAGCTGATGAGCCGCGTGGAGCAGCTCTCGCACCGCTGCCATTCCCTCGAGGTTCCCCACCGGGGCTCCCCGAGCGAACTCTTCATCACTTTTCAGGGTAATGGAGGAGCGATGGTTTCAGGCACCGAGCACCGCGCCGTCACCCCCGGGCCCCCACGAGGCCGCTGCCCTCCGCAGCCGCTGCGTTTTCCCTTCCCAGCCCACAGATGGAGCCAGAACGCAGCGGCGGCGCTCGGAGCGCGCAGAGCAAAGCGGAGCTCCAAAGCCCCGAAGCCCCCAGGAGAATTCAGCCCGGTGCCACCCCCGACCCCCCGGCACATCTCATCTCATCTCCCCATCACCGCTCCCGATCCCGGCGGCACAAATCGGTCCTGCTATGGGGCAGCACCGCCGCTCTCCCTTTCCGAAACCAACACCCAGCAAACGGGGAGCTTTTCCCAAAGCACTGCTGGGCAGCGACGGAGAGGAGGAGAAATCACACGCGAGAGGGAAAACGAGGGGGGCGAGAGGGCGGGGGGATCACAGCAAACACCGAAGAAGGCGGCGCGGATTCCATTTGTCCTGGAACAAACCCGAAGATGCGGGCAGGGCATCGGCTGCAGGGGATCCCCAAAGGAACCCCCGTGGCCACGCTTCTCTCCCCACGCAGTGAATCCCTTTGCTCCGGGATGGAAAGATCTCTGCAGCCGCCTTCCTCAGGACTGCGAGGGCACCGCGAACCACAGAGCTCAGCAGGTTCTGTGCCATCCCCCCCTGCACCCCAAACCCCCCCCTCTGCCCTGCGGTGGGGTCACCCAGCACTGATGGCATTAATCCAATGGCAGCTGATGGAGGCTTGGATAATTAAATTCCAGATGGGAATTTGCTTTTAAAAGGTCAGACTGATGCATTAAATACAAATAATTAAGAAAAATGTTACGTCAGCCAGCTAAACACAAGGAATTGAATACAAACATTTATACCAGCAGACTTCAGTTCTCTACACCAAACCCCAGACCTACGGTTCTGTAAATGGGACACGATGTGGAGCAGCTGATTTCGGAGCCTGGTTAACACTGACAGCAGCACACACCACCCAGCACACCCCCACCAGCCCTGATTTCCCCCTCCATGAAGTCTTCACTCACGTTTTTAACCCCAAACCAGCGGGCACTTCTCTTAATTTCTCCAATGTTTCTGTGTTTCAGGCAAGAGAGCGAATAGGAGAGTTTTTCAGGAAGCAGACTTACGCTCTGAAGCACCAATTTCAGACCATCCCTGCCATCCATTACGTGGAGGGCAGCTTCTCCGTGACCCCCATCGACAGCTGCCGCCCAGGATTTGGGAGCGACGCCGTCGCCCACCGGAGCTGCGCCGGCTGCTGCGGTAACGGGGCACCCATGGGGTCACGTTGCTGCCATCAGAGGGTGCTCAGCCCATGGGTGGCATCAGAATTCAGGCGGGTTCCCATTCAGCTCTGATGGGCTCTGCTCTCTTTGCAGTGGTGTGCAGCCCTGGGACGTACAGCCCAGACAGCGCTGGCAGCTGCAGGCTGTGTGTGAGGCACCGCGCTGCGCGGTACGGAGCCAAGTCCTGCCCATGAATGTGGCACAGAACGCAGAAACAGGAGGTGTGAAAGCGTCGTCGGCCTCCTGACGGCCTCTTCGTGCTGAGCTCCTGCTCCTGGAACTCTACACGTGGTTTTTGAGCAGCGGCCGAGCTCCTCTGCTCGCAGCCCTCCTGCGTTTCCTGCATTAAATGAGGTGTTTGTTCGGGGTAAAGCAATCGCTGTGTGTCACAGAGCTGCCGCTGCTCCCTGGGCTGATCCCAAACACCACGCTGCGTCTGGGGGCACGGAGGGGTCCTGGCAGCAGAGCAGGACGGGGTCGTGTGTGCTGCAATGCGAAGTTCCCCAGGTGTGAAGCACCAAATCCTCGCCGTTTAGGAACACAAACGCGTTTCTCTTGGTTTTCTCCTTTTCTTTACATCCTGAAGGTTTTGTTCTGCCCGGCGCAGGGCTGGGTGGTTCCTTGGGAAACCACTGCTGATGCTGCAGGGCCTTCAGCACTGTGCATCCATCGACCATGGAGAGGGGCTCTGAGATGGGCCTTAATGAATTTGGCCCTAATGAGCTCTGCAGTGCAGGTGGGAGATGAAGAACGCTGCCCTTATGGCTCAGCCTGTCTGCCAGGAAGGAGCGGCGCAGCAGAGGGAAGGAGGGAGAGTGGACATCCAGGGAGGGACGGATGGAGGTTCCTGAGCCTTCTCCACTAGGTGCTGCTGCATCCTCTCCTCCATCCAAGTACGGGAGGCACAGCCCCACTCACTGCACGGCAGCTGTGAGCTCCTGGGATCGGCAGCGGGTCGAGATAAGAGCTTCCAAAGCACTGAGATAACCAGGGAGCTCAGCTCAGCAGAGATTTGCTCCTGCTCGCTTTGGACGGCGAGCTGCTGTATCTGCAATCGATTGTTTTGCTCATTAAGCAGCATTAGGACAGATTCGACTCCAGTGCTTTCAGTCCATCCCCAGCAGTGCTGCCTTCCCTCCCATCCCACGCAGCGCGGGGCTCCAGCAGCCGTTCATCAGAGCTGCCGCCCTCCCGTCTGCCCCTCAACCTCCCCAGGGGGCGCAGAGTTGCTCCCAGCCCCTCCTGCTCCCCGCTGTGGCACAGCTGAGGTCCCACCACGCGCAGGGCAGCGGCCCCAGCTCAGAGCACGGAGCTCTGTGCCGTCAGCCTGGCTCTGCGCTGCGCCAACCCACACAGATGAGCGGCTCCCTCTGGGTGACCGCCGCGTCCCGCAGCACCCAGAAATCCCTCCGTGGGTATTCATCCAAAAACCGACCAGATTCCGCCCGGTTCAGCTTATCCGTGCTGACAGCCGGGCAGCAGAAGGCGGTGTGGGCACAGACCGTGCTCAGAGCTTTTCGGAATCATCGCTTATGAAGTGCTGATGGATAAGATGTGCATCTGAACCGCCCGTGGGGTGGCTGCTCCCACAGCCAACTGGACCCCAATGCTGCCTGGGGGGGACGCAGCAGAAGGGCTCTGCTCCCTGCACTCCTCTTTGCCAGCAGAGGAATGTCGCAGCCATCAGCTGTTAGGTGAGGAAGCAGCAGGGGCGCACTGAGCACCATTCAGTGCTCACCGCCCTCTCCTCCAACCCCTTTTAAAGCAGTGGGGTTGGAACAAAATCCCGCAGCAGTTTAGCCTTAAGACCGTGGAAAAGTGAATCAAACCTTTTGGCTTCGCACTGCGGAGGAGTCTGTGCCATCAGACCAGTGCAGGACACAGCGCACACCTACAGGACGGGACCTTTTCTCTTCCACAACCTCAACAGCTCCCAAAGGGGGTCCCAGCCCCCCCAGGCTCTCCTGAAACCCGGCCTGGGGTGAGGATGGGGGAGCCCTGATGGCAAACAGGCAGATGGATGTGAGCTGCAGGAAGATGACGGAGGCTCCATCACTGCCACCAGCTGGGGCAGCCTGCCCAAAACCTCCCCGTGTCCCCTCAGAAAGGCTCCAGAATCCTCCTAAAACCCTCCCCAAAAATCCCCTCCAGAACTTCCCCTAAAATCTCCCTCCCAAAATCTCCCCATAATCCTCTCCAAATCCGCTCCAAATCTTCCCCAAATTCTACCCAAATCTCCCCAAAACCTCCCAGGAATCTCCCCAATTCACCCCCAATGTTCTCCCCAGAGCTCTGCCCGAATCCTCCCCCAAATCACCCCCAGACCTCCTCCCCCCTGGCCCCGCAGTGCTCTCAGCCCGCTGCCTGCCTGCATTTTCTTCTCAGCCCCGTCCCCATAAGGGCAGCACGGCAGGATTAACGCCTCCTTTGCAGGCAGTGAATCGCCGCGAGTCGCTGTTGGAAGCGGTGCCACCGTAAATGGGTTTTTTTGTGTTGAAAATAAATAAATATGATCCTCTGGAGCTGGTGGGCTGCTGGCAAAGCGTGGGTCGGCCTTCATCGCTGCGTAACCGCCGCCATCCGTTCTAATTATTGATAAATATTTTGTATAATTGTGGAAATTAAACAATTAGACATCCTTCCTTCCCTCTGCTAAATCGAATCGCCGCGAGGCTCAGGACGTGGTCTGGGGCTGGCAGTGGTGCACAGACCCAAAGGGATTTGCTTCACCATCCCGCACAGCACCCCTGCAAACACGGCACCCCCAACCCTGGGACAGAAGCTGGGGTTATTAGCAGCACCGCTAACGAAGGGCTGCACTGCGGCCACAGGCTCAGAAGCCCATCATGGAGATGTGGGGGTTCCAGCCGTGCTGCTCGCTCTGCCATCACCGATCCCGGCTGGTAAATCCACAGCATGGCCAGAAACAAATCACCCAAAACTCAGTGTTGCAGGGGGCTGGGAGGACCCGTCCCCATCCCCGCTACCCCCACCCCAATAGCAGCCAGGGCAGGAAGGAGGTGGGAGCATTGGGACGGGGGCTGGGGGACGCTGCAGGGGGCAGCACCGCTAAGGCAGGTGCTAGGGACCCCCCCCAGCGGGCAGCCCGGTGCTACGCAGCCTCCCGGGGGGCACCAGAGGAAGTGAGGGGGGAGGAGGGGGGCTGCAATCTGTTCGTGGGGCGGCTGCCATCTGCTCGGGGCTGGGGGCAGCCGGGTGAGGGGGTGGCTGAGGTCCTGCAAGCGGGATCTGTCGCTCTGCGTTAGGTCTGGGATTGCTCACCTCCCGGTGCCCCTCCTCGGCACAGTGCAGGGGACCTCACAGGGAGAATGGGGACAGCTCGTCCCTGAGCCCTGCGCCACACCGCGGCCCTGCTCTGGTGCAGCGGGGACGGGTGGGCAGGGAGCTGTGCAGCAGCCACGAGAACGGGGCACGGCGCGGTGACCTGAGCCGGCAGGGCTCATTAATTCCATGCCAAGGTTGGGTTACCTGCAAGCTTGGGTGTCCTGTTTCTGAGAGCCTCACGCAGCAGCAGAGCCCTGCAGGCGTGAGAGAGATGCGGGCACCTTCATCTCCTCCTCGTGGCCCGGGGGGGTCACTGGGGGTCCCCGACGCGAGCAGCACTGGTGTGAGGCGCGATCACCACCGTCTCCAAAGTAAAAGCCAATTTATTGTCGTATAAAGTAAGAACATAAAAGGTCCCTTAAACAAAACACTCCTCGGGAGATGGTGCCCCGGGGGCTCGGTTCGGTTCCCCCCACCCCTGTGCTCCACCACGCGGAGGGGGCAGAGGGCCGGGCCGAGGATGTTTGTGCGCTGGGGCTGTGCTGGGGGTGTAGGCACTTGTGGAGGGCACGGGCTCCCCACAGCCCCATCCGTAGGCACCGGGCACCGGAGGGATGGAGGGGGCCCGAGCCCCGCCGGCCCCAGATGTGCAGGGCGGGCGCTGCCAGAGGTGTTGGAGCAGCTTTGGTTGGTGCTCTCAGTGAGTTAAGGCAGTTGAGCTTCAGTTGGTTTTAAAAAGGACAAAATCAGAGACAGGAGCCGGAGGGGCAGGCGTGGGCTGCCTTCACCCCGAGGTTCCGTGTGGACGCTGCGTGCCCCATCCCTGACGCCGACCCCAGGAGCCCAATAGAGAGTGTCAGAAAGGGACAAGTGGGGCCGAGGGGACGTCCGGGCTCCTGGCAGCGGTGCAGGGAGTGGGAGGAGGCGGAGGAGCGGCGGCCTCGGCCCCATCCCAGCGCTGTCACAGTGAGCGGTCGCAGCCGTGAGTCCTTGAGAGAGAGCGGAGCTGCAGTGGGGTGCAGTGCCCCAAAGCACCGACCCCGTGTGTCCTCGGACCCCCATCAGCACCCACCGCCCCCAGCACGGAGCACAGCCCGGGGGCTCTGATCCATTTTCACTGTAACACTCAGAGGGGGAGGTCCCCACTTCACCCCGCTGCCCATCTCAAGGTGAGGGCAGCGACGGGGCGGCAGCTCCAGCTCAGGAAATGGGAGCTGGGGCCGTTCCCCACCGCAGCATCCCTCCACCCCCGTCCATTCGTCCCATAGGGCTGCACCCCCCTGCCCCGCAGCTCCAGGAACATCCCCAGGGCAGCAGAGGGTAAACCGGAGGGGTTTAAAACACCGACGTCGTTACCGCCCCGGGGAAGGCTGCAAAGAAAATCGAACGGTTTCGCACCGAGTCCCGACGCCCGGAGCGGCGCCGCGTGCCGGGGGCTCAGTTCTCCCCGCTCGCTCTGCGCCCATTGCCAGCAACCAATAACTGAGAACCGACCGTCGCTCCCCCCCACGGCCGTGTCCCCAGGAATGCCACGACGACGTCCCGCCGCCCCCGGCCCCGCTCACACCACAGTGCTGATGGTGGACGACTCCTCCGAGTGCCGCTGCTTGCTGGGCAGCGATTTGAGGTACTCCAAGTGCCGCCGCGCGTCCTCCTGGTTCTGGCGCACGTAGTACACCAGGTAGGAGATCACCATGGCGAACCAGCCGAACATGGTGACCAGCATGGCAATGTCCGTCGTCTTTTTGTACACGTTGCAGAAGTCCGTGTCGGCGATCACCTGCAGGAAGGCTTTGCCCACGTGCTCCTCCTGCAGCGCCGAGTCGCAGACGATGCCGGCGGAGGAGCCGGCCGTCAGATCCACGGCGCGGATCAGCTCCTGCAGCCGGCAGTCGCACAGCCAGGGGTTGTTGGAGAGGTTCACCTTGGCCTTCATGTTGCTGAGGACGTCCTTGCTGAGCGACACCAGCCTGTTGGAGGACAGGTCCAGAGAGCGCAGGCGGTCGGCCAGCCCGCGGAACGCCCCGCTCTCGACGGCGGCGATGGCGTTGTGGGACAGATCCAGCTCCAGCAGCAGCGGCAGATCCCGGAAGGCGTCGCGGGGCAGGAAGGGGATGCGATTGGAGTCCAGGTAGAGCTTGTTGGTGTCGTTGGGGATGTCCTTGGGGACCTCGGTCAGCCGCGCGTTGCTGCAGCGGAAGGTCTTCAGCCCCTCCTCCTCCGAGGGGTAGCAGCCCCTGGGGAAGGCGGCGGCGCGCAGGCAGGATGCCAGCAGGACGCCCTGCACGAGCAGCCACATGGCTGTGGGGCGCAGGACGGAGGGCTTCTGACGCCGACACGGTGCCGCAGCGGCTCCGTCACGCAGCCACCGGCCCCTCGGCTCTCACCCGCGGCGCTTTGGGCTGAAGGAGGCACATCTGGGACGGGGACACCAGAGGGACAGCGTCAGGCTGAGGCGCCCGGGGGCACCGCGCCCGCCCGCTGCTCCGAACCGCGGGATGGGGACGGGGGTGAGCAGCGCGGCTCGCCGGTCTCCCCACCACCAGCGGCAGCGCACGGGGCTCCTGCGCAGCGGGATTAGTTCCCGAGGGGCTGAGCCACCGCACGTCTCCTGTGCAGCAGCTGGGCTGTAACAAACGGCCACGGCTCGGGCTGAGCCGGAGGCGGGGGTGAGATCCCCGCCAAGGTCACCGGCAGTGCGAGCTGCCTGAAGCCAGCGCATCCTGCAGAGCTCCGGGCGAGCTGCAGGCAGGGCCCAGGGGAGCGCCGGCGGCCAGCAGGTTCCCCAGCAGCGCGGGGCCGACGGAGGATGGATGCCGGCTCAGGGGCTGCGCTTCCCAGCGCTGCCAGGGCGGATGTGGGCACGTGCCACGTTTTCTATGGGGCGTTTGATTCGAGGGCGCCGGCGCAGGCCGGTGGCTCTGCTGTCCCCCTGCACGGTGCCACACCGGCCCCAGGGCCGGCTGCCCACACCACCCCGTAACCATGGTCCCCATCCAGCCCTTTATTCCGGAGGGGAAAAACGTCAGCAGGAAAGAAACAAAAAACAGAAAAAGGAAATTCACAGGAGCCGAGCGCTTAGCAAGTTCCCAGGGTGGTGGCAGCAGATAAGGCCACGTCTGAGAGCATGAGCTGCTCAGCTTTTCCCTCCACAGGTCCCAGCACGCTGAGGGGGCAGCAGCACGACGGAGGCAGGATGCAAGAACCTTGTGAGCATCCCACAATCGGGGACAGTGGAGTGAAAAGGCAGCCTGGCAGCAGAGCTCCGCTGTGAGAGCCCTGCGCAGCGCCACCAGCACAGGCAGCCCCGGGGTGCAGATGTCTCATGTCCTTCTCCCCACCTGTGGAAGCTTTAGGGCTGGGGTCCTGAGCTCTTTAGGGCTGGGGTCCTGAGCCCCCCGCAGAGCCATCCCGGGGTGCTGTTGGGGCTGCAGGGGGAGGCTGCCAGGCCTGGCATGAGGCACGGACACAGCTCTCTCTGCTCGCTGCTCGGTGCAGTAACTCGGTGCAGCTGCACCAAGACGCCCCAAGGTCGCGCCTGCACGGAGCCGACCCCGAGAAGCCCACTGCAGGCGGCTCCTAGCAGGGAGCAGAGCTCGGAGTAGCCGGAGGGCAACGGCAGCGCCAGCCCCACACCGGCACCACCGCACGGACGGGGAACCGTCCCCCCAGGTCTGCCAGAAGTAACTCGGGTGTTGAGCCCGGGGCTGGGAACGGCTGAAACCGATCCAAACGAGCCGGGATCGGTGATCAAGAAAGGGGAGCCCCGTCCTCAGGAGCCGGGCGCTGGGGAACCCCTGTGGGCGGGATGCGGCTCTCGAAGATCCCACGGGGGGGGGTCAAGGGGCTCCGGCTGCGGCACTCCGGACCGCGCACGGCACGAGGGCAGCTCCTGCCCAACCGCGGGGATCCCGGGGACGGCAGCGGAGGGGTCGGGGCTCTGCGAGCACCCGGAGCCGCCGTGCGCCCAGAGCAGCCGGGGATGCCCGGGGTTCCCCCCGGCCCCGCTCCAGCTCCGGCTGCGCTCGGCACCGGGGGCGTTGCGGGAGAGGGAAGCCCCGGTAATTCCCCCGGGGAAGCTCGGCGCGGCGCTGCTGGGGACCCCTACCCCCCCCCTCGACCCCGCCCGCCGCCTCCCGCCCTGCCCCTCCCGAAGCCGGAGAGTACCGGGGAGCACCTGGGTGCGGGGTCCCGGTGCGGACTCACCTGCCGTGCGCACCCCGCGGTGACGGAGCGGGCCCCGCGCCCCGGGCCGGAGCGGCCGCGCCCCGCGCAGCGCGGCGGGCCCGGAGCCGGCGGCGGCGGCGGCGGGGCCGGTGGGCGGGCTTCACCGGCCGGGCCTCCCCGGGGCTCCCCGCCCCCGGCCCGCCCCGCCGGGGGGGGCTGCACGGCTCCTGGCACCCCCGCCTCGCCCCCGGCTCCTCTCCACGCCCGGTTCGGGTCGAGGCTGAGCCGCGGGACTCCTTCCTGGGAGGACACGGGGAGAACCCCGCCGGGAGCGTCCGGGACCCCCAAGCTCGGGGCTCGGGGCGGCCACAACCAACGGAGACTCCGGGATCCCCGGGACCCCGTGTGGGAATGGCGCTGGCGGGTGCTGCCCGGAGCCGGGCTCTGCCCTCCAGCCTCTCTCCGCAGCCCGGGGCTGCCCCCGCTCCCCAGCGCCCAGGAATCGCCCCCGGCTTTTCCCCCTCCTCCACGGAGCGTGATCCCCTCCTGCCCGCCGCCTCCCGTCAGCACCGGCATCGCTTACTTGGGGAAACCCGAGCCGCGGCGGGCGGCGAGGCGGGCGGAGCCCTGCGGGTCCCGGTGCGGGTCCCCAGCCCTGCCGCGAGCCGCCCTGCCCGGGGCTCGATGAGCCACGTGGGGACCGGCACCGGGGCCGGCTCAGGACCATGGAGAGCGGCCGCCGTTACCGGGCTCCGGTGCTCCGGGCCGGGGCCGCCCCCAGCAGGCAGCCGGCACCGGGACTCGTCCCTGCGGGTCACCGGGCGCCGGAGCCGCGGGGCCGAGGGCCGTGCCCTTGCCGTGCTGCCAACAAGGACGCCGGTGGCCGCCCGCGCCCCATCGCGGTTCTCCTTGGAGAGATCGCGCTGATCATCTCTCGCTGCTCGGGGAGGATAAACGGTTTACGAGGCGCCTGGCCTGCGTCTCGGCCCCATTAGCAGAACACAACCTGACGGCAGCCGCCCCGAGCGCAGCACGGCTGGAGCCAGGCCCGGTGCGGTGCCGTCAGCGCGGGGCTGCGGGCGCAGAGGTCGGCGCACACCGCGTGGCTTCGCTCCCATCCGGCGCTGGCAGGAGGGAGATCGGCGTCGCCGCCGCTGGGGCTGCAAATGGAGCAGAGCCCCACGCCGTGCTGCGATGGGGCTGGGCCTGTCCTGAGGGACTGAAACCGGGGAACCACTGGCTGCTCCCAGGGCACGAGCCCATTCATTTCTCCCTGTTTGCCTGGAGAAGCTCCGAGCTCCCCAGCGGCAGCGCCACCGGCTCTCCAGCCCTCCCACACCACGTAGAACCCAAAATCTCAAGGCTGCAGTGCAGCACAGCCCTGTGCAGACCCCTTCCCACTGCTGCAGCGGCACGGCTGGCTAAAATCAGCCAGCACCAGCTCCTCCCTGCCACTACACAGAGCCAGCATCGAGCCGGCGGTGGGGCCAGCAAACAGAAGGGAACGCGGACCCCACAGCACAAGGACTGCTCCAAACATCGGCCTGGGCTGCGGGTGCGGGTCCGAATCCCCCCCAAGGACCGCTCCACCCCCAAACGCCGGGGTCCCCTGTGAGGGTGAATGCGGGCTGGGGAGCCCAAGGAGCGGGCGCCCCCCCCTGCGCTCCCACCGGCAGTGAGAGAGAGAAGCTGCTGCTGCATCACCGAGCGGGATTAATATTTATGGGCGTTTAAAAATAGCCGCCGCATTGTGCTTCCCCCTCACGTGCAGAGTCAGCGGGGTGTGGGGAAGCTGCTAAATTAGATGTCACCGCGCAGAGGGAGCCGCTCAGTCAGGCAGGAGTGGGGATAAAAATAGAGCTGCCGTGTGCGTGGCTCCCCTGCAAAGCAGGGCTGCTCCCGCGGGATCCCGCCTCCGCTACAGCATCCCTGCAGCACCGAGAGGCTGCGGGTGGGTTTTCCTGCCAGGTCCCCCCGTGCCCGAGGCCCTCCAGGAGCAGCTGGCAGGGGAAACGCTGGCTGTGGGAAGGCAGAGCCGTGCTCAGTTAGCAGCACAGTGCTGGCGTGTGATGCTCAGACCGCCTCGGTCCCATCCAGCAGCAGCGCTGCACCGGATCCACGCTCTGGCTCATGAGGGCACACACGAGGTGCTCAGCATTGGGGGAGGCAGCCCGGGGGGGGCTTTCAGCATCGAGCGACCCCAAAGCTGCCCAAACAACACCCCGCCGAGCAGCTCGGCTGTGCTGCACCCTCTGCTGCTCCCCAGCAGGAGCTCAGCGTGCACAAAGGCTGCACAGATGGCTGCACACCAGGGGTGCACGTGGTGAGCGGCGATGGCTGCACTGACAAAGGCCGGGACAGATGGTGCCCAGCACTGCAGCACCGCACCCACAGCCCGCAGCTCTCAGCCACGCGTGGTGCAGCGCATGCATGGAGCTGCAGGGCTGGGGGGCACTGAGCACAGAGCTCAGAGCCACTGATTGCAGGGCTGCAGGGGCTGAGGTGCCCGCATCCCTCGGTGCACGAAACAGTTCTGCAGGGGATCTGCAATCGCAGTAGCTAAAGCCAGTATCCCAATATTCCCATACGATATTCCCATAAATCCCAAAAGCCAAAGCTGGTCAGCAAGCAGGCGCACAGCACAGCGTTCAGCGGCTGCTCAGTAGAACTCCGGAGCGCTTTCTTTTCTGGCCACAAATTAACTCTGTTTCCCACACGATGCACGCTACTGAAACACCCGAGCGCGGCGGGGTGCTTTTCCCATCACGGGGCAGGAAAAAAACAAAGCGATGGAGACCCATCAACCACCACCGGAGCACCGCACACACACAGCCCGCAGCACCGACCCCGAAGGGCAGGAGGGCAGGAGGCAGCGCGATCCCTCAGCCGCCCCGCCGTGCCGTCGCGGCGCAGCGCTGCCCCGCACGGCTCCAATCCCGCACCGCCCCCCCGCACGGCGCTGCCGCACTACAGCTCCCGTGGTGCCGGGCGGCGGGGCGGGCCGTGCCGAGGTGTCCGCCGGGAGCGCGGCGGAGATCCCGGGCCGAGCCGGGGCTGAAGGAGCCGGGCCGGGCGGTGAGTGCGGGCCGGGTGCGGGACCGGGCGGCCGTGCGGGGCACGCGGCGGAGCTCCGCGCTCCGGGGCCGGCGGGGATGGGAGTCGGGGAGAGGCGAGCAGAGCGGCCGAGCGCTGGGAGCGGGGCTCGGTGAGCGCTGCGGGGCAGCGGGCCCTTCCCGTGCCGAGCCGAGCCGTACGGCAGTTGCGATGAGGCCGGGGCTTTGTCTGCGGCTGCGGGATTCGCCGCGCCTCCCCGCAGCGCTCACTTGTAGCGCTTCCTTTGTGCGCGGAGTTTTCCCGGCCCGACATCGCGCAGCCTCGCGGGGCGCGGAGCGGTGCTGCCGTCCGACCCCTGCCGCGTTCGCTGCCATCACCGAGGCTCTCGATCCTCCGGTTCGAACAGCGTTGCCATCTTGCAAAGAAGGGTTTAAAATATTCATTCGCTCGGGAGGTGGGGATTTGCTGCTGCCGGAGATGGGGATCTCGGCTCCGTCCGTCGGATCGTAATCTCCTGCGTGCTGGGAACGCGCAGATCGACCGAGATAAGCGCCCGCTGCCCTCCCCACCTCTGCAGCCCTCCGATAAAACCCTGCGCGGGAGCTGCCGGGCAAAGAGCCAGCACAGCAACCGGGCCGAGGCGTCTGTTGGGTGGCAGAACGGGGCGGGGGGGGGGGGGGGGCCGCTCCTGTGGGAGCGAAGCAGGGGGCGAGGAACGCACGGGCCGCCGAATGGGGGCTGCGGGTCGCGCAGCAGCTGATCGACGACGACGGGAGCGCGAAGTGCTGCCGTCGGTTGTGCCTCGCTCAGCACGGAGGGGTGAAACGGCGCTGCGGGGCGTCGCTGCGAGGCTCGGGGCTGGAGCGGCATTGGGACCCGCAGCGTGTGGCGGTCTGGGCGGTGAGGAAAGGCCCCAGACCCCCATCGCTGCGCTCTGCTCCCATCCAGCTGTGCTCAGCACTTCTCCCCTCCTTTCTCAGCCCCCGTCCCACGTCAGCGCGGCGCCGACCTTCACCCTCAGCCTGGGGAAACGTCACCCTGCCAGGACCCAGCGCTGCACAGCTCAGAGCTGTGGAACTGGAGCTCCTCCTGCTTTTGTGGTTTGCTTTGGGGTTTTTTTTTCTGCAGGTGAACGAATCCCCGGTGTAAAATCAGACAGCAAACCAGGAGGGATCTGGGCTGGGGGCAGGGAGCTGTGCTTGGGAGTTTGCTCCCAGCCAGGCTTTTGCAATAACGTGCAAAGCTCTGTGTGCAATCTGAAGTGAGCAAAGAGCTCAGGCCAGGGCTGTGAAAACAGTCCAGAAATTGAAACCGAGGGCAGGTTTTTAAGGTGGGGAAAGCAGGGTTGGAAAAGCATGCTCCATTATCACATGGCCTAATGCTTGACCTCCCCACTGCTATTTTTGCAAGAGCAAATTGACCTCCTGTGCTGTATCAATGAGAGCTTCACCACCCCAATCACTGCAGCAAGTGAGGAAACTGAGGCAGAGGAGAATTGCTTCACATTCAGCTTCTGAGCTTTGTCCTTTGCCACCCCGCTGCCCTGCCTGGCAGACAGCAGCACACAGCAGTTGCTCATTAGTTTTTAGAGCCCTGGTTGATCCCAGACAGAAATTGCACTTTATCCCACATCAGCTTGCTGTGTTATTGCATTGCTCTGAACCTCCATTGCACACTTTGGTCCCCATGCTCTCTGCAGAGACCCTGTAAGCGTTTGGGGTCCGTTCATCACCTCTTTTTTGAATGTCCTCTAGACTAAACAAACCCATTTCCTCCAGCACGGCCTTGCAGGTCATGTTTTTCCTCCACCTCTGCTCATTCTCACAGTTCTGCCCTGGACTCCCTCCAGCTCCTCCCAGAACTGGACAGCACTCACTGAGGCCTCACCAATATCTGGGAGGATTATTTCTCCTGTCTGGCAAGCAGCACTCCTGTTTACACATTCCACAGCGGTAGTTGCTTTTCTTCCTTCCCTTTTTTTTCCCCCTCTTTTCCCCCCATAGCGTGACATCTTCAACTCGTGTTATACTCCAGCACGACCCCCAGATGTCCTTCTGAGAGCCATTAGGGGCTGTGCCTCATTGAGGATGGAGCTGCTGTCCCAGCGCTGACCTCCAGCTCCAGTCCTGCCCCCAAACCAGGCTGCTTTGTCCAGAATACCCCACAGCCACTGACCCAGCAACCTGCAGATCCGGAGGCTCTTTTCTGCTAAACAAAAACCTTTTCCAGACCTAAAGCTCCCTGAGTGGCAGTAAGGGCACGGCAGCATCCATCAGCTCGCAGCCAGCGTCCCAGAGCTGCACTCGTGCTGTGTCAGTGAGCACCAGGCAGCTCAGAGCACGGCAGCTGCTGAAAGAAGCCAGGCCCAGCACTCAGAAAGGGAACTCGGAGTAGCTGGCAGCAACATTCAGAGCATAATGTCAGATCTGGCGTGGGCTCGCCTCCTGAGACTGAGAGCTGGACAGAGCAGCAACTTGGGTTGGTTTTCAGCTGTGGAAACCAAAGCAGCAAAAGCACGAGGCTAAACATCAGGGAAAAGTCATCGCTTTGGGGTCTGCTGTGCAAGGGACAGGCTGCGTTATGTCCTTGGGAAACACTGAGTATTTTATGCAAGACCTTCTCTGATCTCTGTGTAAAGATATTCTGCATTGCAGTGGCTCTAAGTTGCGTTCTTTCCTGTAATCCCTGATAACTGGTAAGACAGCTCTCAGCTTCCCAGCAAGCTTAGCTGAGGAACGTGGATGAAAACAGTGACCTGGGCACTGACCTGCCTCTGGTTTTGTTTCAGAGGGTGAAGACAAGAGCCAACATGAACGTGGGAACGGCGCACAGCGAGGTGAACCCCAACACACGTGTGATGAACAGCCGGGGCATCTGGCTCTCCTACGTCCTTGGCATCGGGCTGCTGCACGTCGTGCTCCTCAGCATCCCCTTCTTCAGCGTCCCCGTGGTTTGGACTCTCACCAACATCATTCACAACATGGTAAGCCACCCCCGGGTCAAAGAGGCAAAATATTTCGGAGCTACAGCCACCGAGTTTGTGCCCTTTATGTCAACATCTCCGCCTGGGAGCGTGCCAGCGGTGAGCAAATCCTTGGGGCTGCTCGTGTTATCTCTAGTGATACAAAAATACATAAACACGCCAATAAACCCAGAGCTCCAACTGCTGGGGGCTGAGTGCAGCACAGCTGCCTGCATTTCGCCCAGCTCCTCGCCCTGCTTTCCTCTGCCAGCACAAACTTTGGTCCTGGGAACAGAGGGGAGTTGAGGGCAGTGAGGGCTGAGTGTAGAAGACACGGCTGAGCCAAACGCTGCTGATGTATCAGACAGGAACTGCTCCGTTCTGCCTGCAGCTCCAGCAGCACTTTTTTTCGACAGCATTTAGCAGCGCTGTTGCACACTGCAGCCAGGCCGTGCCGATCTCCTGATCCCACAGATCCCAGTGCTGTAATCTCGCAGCTCCCTTTCCTCACGCATGAGAGCAGAGGGAGCGTTGCTCTTAGCAGAGCCGCCCCAACTTGCAGCCTTCCTTCCCCCCGGGGCTGCTTTGGGTCGGCAGTGATGGCGGCGCGTCCCTCTAGCGGAGCAAAGCGCTGCTGCAAGCCTCCCTCCGTCACTGCTGCGCTCCTCTGGCTGAAGCTGAGCCGCTGCCGGCGGGTGCGGAGCCCCAGGCAAAGTCTCACACCGCCTTTGTGTCCGCTGCAGAGCATGTACATCTTCCTGCACACCGTGAAAGGAACCCCTTTCGAGACGCCGGACCAGGGCAAGGCGCGGCTGCTGACGCACTGGGAGCAGATGGATTACGGCGTGCAGTTCACGGCATCCCGCAAGTTCCTGACCATCATGCCGATCGTGCTGTGAGTGCCGGGGGGGAGCGGAGCTCACAGGAAGCGAAGCTCGCGGCGTGCCATCATCCGGCTCTCTCTTTGTGTTCCCCGCAGGTATTTTCTAACCAGCTTTTACACCAAGTACGACCGGATACACTTCGTCATCAACACCATCTCCCTGATGAGCGTCCTGATCCCCAAACTGCCTCAGTTCCACGGAGTGCGGATCTTTGGGATCAACAAGTACTGAAGTGTGCGGATGGAGGAGCAGCGGAGCTGGGGGAGGTTCCTCCTCCCCGCTCCCATTCCCCCCTGCCCACACTGGGATAGTTTCACAGCAGCTGTTTAAATGCAGTACCCAATAGACATACACCGCATGCTGGATCCTCATGCCCAATAAATCTAAAGAAGCTCCAGAGTAGAGTTTAGCGAGGAGCAGGATGCTGGACTTCCTTTATTCCAGCATCAGAAATAGATGCAGACACACCGAGACTCCAAGGTACAAAGAGGCCGAATTGAGGGAAGGCTTTCATCTATCCCAGGTGCGACGAGAACAGGGGTGAGGGGAAAAGCTTTTAGTGCTGGTACTATTGCTGTGGTAAATGCACTTTAACATGATCTCCCTTTCCGAGGCTTTGGTGCTTTAAAGCGATGCGCGAGGAAATCGAACGGGACGCAGCCGAACTCTCCCAATATTGGATGGTTTCAGGTTTTATTTCCACTTCTTGGGCAGAGGAAGAGAAGGGAGGGGAACAGAATGACAGATCTTTTATTTTGAAATCTTCCACGCCGCCGGGAAAGGAAGGAAAGGAAGTTCAGCTGCAAGCGACGACCTGCGCGCTGGGCAGCTCTGTGCGTCCTGGGGGAGCAGCCGTCCGGTCCAGGGAAAAGATCCCAACTCCCAGCTGTGGCTTCCAGCTTGGATGACTTTGCTTCCCATCCCGAACCTCTCAACTTTTCAAGCACTCAGGCAGCGAAGCGTTTGGACGAAGCACTGAGGTGCAGCTCGTCGGGGTGATGGACTGCAGGTGCTCCCCTGCTGCGCGGAGCTGCATGAGCCTGGGAGGAAGCAAAGAGCGATGGGTGCAGACGTGCGAGGGCTGGGTGCTGCTGCAGAGGCTGGGGGCAGCGATTTGAGCTCTCCTGCTCCATCCATCCCCTCGGTCTCCTCAGCCCACGCAGCCGTTAATGAGATCTGCCCGTTCTCCAATTAACTCAGCATGGAAGCCTCCACGTGGCGACGAAGCGCTGCGGACCCCAGGGCTGATCCCTGCACCAGCAGCACACTGACCTGACCAAGGGAAGGGTCTTTGTGTCACCAAAGACAGCAGATGGTTTTGTATAGGAATAAAATCAAGCCTTCGTCCCCCTCCAACCACCGCTGGAACACAGGAGGGCTGCAGGTTTGGCTTTCGTGGCCAAGATGCCTTTCTGCTGTTCAAAGCAATTGGTTTTTCTTGCAAGCTGTGTGCTGGGTGAAACGTGGTTTTGCTCATGCTTTCCCTGACAGCAACATGCATTTTTTGTTGTGCTTACACGGCCAATGAAGGCGTTTTAAACATGCTGGGTTTGTTCTTAATTAGCCGAGTCTGGCTTGAGAAGTCAGAGTGGATGCTGAGTTCTGTTTGAGGGTCTGAGCACAGGGCACAGAGGAGCTCCAAGATCTGCTATATAAGACCTTGCACTGCTCCATGCATAACATCAGGCTTTACTTCTGTCCCAAACTCACCAGGCTGCTGCAGCAAAGGGAGAAAACAGTTAACATGGCTCAGAGCCTTGCTGGGATGCACGGGGCCGTCACCCAATAGGTTTGAACGATGGAAATGCTGGAAGTGGAAAGGAAGGCAGAAGGAGGGTTGGTGTTTGAGTGCTGATCTCCAGTGAGAGCTTGGCAGATCATGGATACCTGACTGGGTGGGGGTTAAACCGCCCTGAATGAGGACTGCTGCTTTAGTTAAGGTACTGCAGACCCTAAAGCTGATGTACTCTGTAAGCTACCAGACAATGACTTTGGGGAAAGAAATACTTCTTTTTGTCACACTAGAACTATTTTGTCAATCAGTACTTTGGAAATTAGGGGGGAATGAACAGCACCAGTGCCTGGGATGCCTGTGGACACTGCAGTGCTGCAGCAGCTGCTCCTAACAGGAGCACACGAACCCACATCCAGTGGGGAACCTCCAGGAGAAACAAACACTGCTCGTTTAGGCATAATATAAAGGGGGAAAATGCAAGCTTTTATGCAACAGAAGTCGTTGTTTTACCAAGGGTGCGTTGGCTTAAAAACGTGACTCCCATCCATGGGGCATCTGCTGGTTGTCTGTAGGTATGTGTGAGCTATTGCAGGTCAGAGCAGCTGTGTTCTGGGGCTCGGCTCCATCGCAGTGTTACTGCTGGGGTTGGAGCATCTGATGTCTGTGCTGGTAGCTGACAGATGGGCGCCCGGTTCTGTCCTGTTCAATGGAAGACCATCAGTAAAACAATACAGAATGGAATTACAGACTTCTGGAAAAGGCAGGTTTTCAAGCCCAGGGTCCAGAGCTCCTCGTGGGGCAAAGCCTTAATTACAATAGCAAACTTCTCCCACTTTATTTAACTGGAATGATTCAAATAGCCATTACAGGTGTCCTCATTTGGGGATACGTGGCAGATGACATTCTATCCAAGGCACGTGGAGCATTTCTGCTATGCAGTATCTTAAGTTGGACTCATGCAGTCAATCCAATCAAAAGGAACATTAATTAAAACTGGAGAAACACAGAGTCGAAGGGTTTTGTGTTGATAAAGCAGTGTGTGAGGTGGTTTCATCGGATTAATGGCTACTGGGACAATGACTGATCTCAGATCTTCCTTCAGATGCCATCCTAAGGGGAGCTACCAGAATTAGGATCAGGAAAGGAACCTCCAAGAACAGCACTGGGTCCTGCTGGGCAAACGACGCTCGCTGCTCTGAGCCTGGATGCTCCCTGCCAGCACTGCTGGCCCAGGGAGCCTCTGCTGAAGGGTCTGTGCTGCAGAGCTGGGAAAGCACAGCACCAAAGCCACTTCTGCCCTATTTCTGCTTGTGAAGTTCTTACAGCAGTGAGCTGGGTGCACCAAGGCTGCTCTCCCCCACAGGGACGTGCAGGAGATCATCGACGGGCAGCGATTTTAAATGGGATTTCGCTCCTCCTCTCCAGCCTGCGCTGCTTCTGTGCGCAGCCGTGAGCTGGGGAACGCAGGAGGTGGGACTGCAGGCACTGAAATCCTTCAGGGTCTTTCTTTGGTCCTGCAGTAAATGCAGAACAGCTTCAGATGAGCACGGCCTGAGGCCGGCGAGGCCATGGTGCACACATGGGGACAGCAGGCAGCAGCAGGCAGCGCTGCTCCATCAGCCAGGGCTCCTGCCCTGCAGTTCCCGGTGGGATTTCTCGCAGTCCAAACCATTGCAGGAAAACAAACAAACAAACAAACAAAAAAAGCCTTTAAAAGAAACAAAGGAAACCCTGAGATTTAGGGCTACTCCATCCCGTATTTTTTTAATCGTATTTTTGGTTTGCTTTTTTTAATAGAAAGTTGGTACTGGCCCTTGAGAAGGGGGCAGCGGTTGGGTTACCCTTATTAAGGCGCTGATGTTTCTTACTGGGGCTTCCATGGCTCCATCACCGCATCAGATTCTTTTAAGCATGCAGGTCCTTGTGTTGATTTGTCCTCCTCGGATCAATTGAAGCTGAATTCGTTTCGTTTGGGTTTTTTTAAGAGAACATTCTGACATTGTACATAGTTTTAGGGTTTGGTTTTGGTTGGGTTTTTGCCAGCAGCCCTTCTTTATGCTGTGGATACCGAAGTCTCGTGTAGAGAACTTTCTAAAACAAAGTGTGAATATTTTTATTACTCCTTTGTACAGCGTTCTAAGAGAAACTAATAAAGTGAGTATTCATGTAAAAACTCCTGCTCGGCTCCTTGGGTTCCCACTGGGCCGTTCTGCTCATTGATGCCCCCTGTGTCTGCAGGCTCACCAGGCAAAGCTGAGCTGGAACCTCACGGACCACAGAGCTGCAGGGGTCAGAAGGGTCCAAACTCCCCCCCAGCAGCTCCTGTTCTCCCCTCCTCGCCTGTCTGGCAGCTGCTCCAGGCTCTGTTCCTTTATGTGTGGATGGGGGGCGCTGAGCTGCAAGCTGTGCCCGCTGCCCTCATCCCATTGCTGGGCACTGCTGAGCACAGCCCGGCCCCATCCCCCATCCTTCAGATATCAATCAGCACTGCTCATACAGCCCCCCCCCCCCCCCCCCCGGCCCCTTCCAGGCTCCCCACCAACCCCAATGCATCCAGCGCAGCACCAGCAAAGCAGCACTGAATGCAGGTTACCAGAAGTGCAGCACTGCTGCCCCCCACCCACACCACGCACTGCACTTCTGCAGCTTTACAACCATAGCATTGCACGGGTTGGAAAACGCCTCCAAGCTCATCCAATCCAACCACAACCCAGCCGTGCTGCCTTAACCAGAACGCACTGCTCCTCATCCTGCCAGGCAGGGAGCAAAACAGAGCCACAACAGCAGCAAAGTCCTCCAGCCCAGCAACAGTGTGCATAGGGACCAAACGAAAGGTGCCCACAGCTGCTGGAACAGCAGGACAGCAGAAGTGAGGGCGAGAAAGCTGCTGGATTGGGGTTACATCAGTGCTGCTTTCCTTATAGGGCAGTCAGTTCCGGGCTGGTAGGAGGCACACATAGCAAGCACTGCAAGCACAGGAGGCATTGCAAGCACTGCAAGCACAGCAAGCACAGCAAGCACTGCAGGCACCACAACCAGCCAGCCCCCCTCCAGCATCACGGACCCCCACAGCCCCCCAGGGCTTCAGGTAAGAGCTGCCCCACAGATGGGGGAGGGCTGCCCCGTTCTGCCACCCCACGCTTCTCTCCCACGGTTCAAAGTCCGTCCCCAGCTCCTCTCGGGACTTCAGAACTTTGAAACTTAAGGATGAGCTTCCACAGCCCAAAGGCCCCCATCAGCTGGATCAGAGCTGGAACGCAGAGCCACGGTCCCTCTCTCCAGCCGTTCCTCTCTCCTCTCTCCCTCCTCCCCCCTTTGTCCTTCTTTCTCCTCACACATTTCAGCAACCGAGGCTTATTCCAACTCCCTACAAAGTCACAGGGTTTCTCCTCACAGCCCTGACAGGTACAACTTTAAGGGTGCCCGTACTTTTAAAGTCAGCTGTAATGAGAACCGCTGTGCTTTGCTTATGGCTGCGTCCGGGTCTGAGTGGAACGGAGAGGATGTGTGAATCTGGGCACCCTCCCTGGGCAGGATGTGACTGTGCTCCTTCTGGGAGGGGGGAGAGCAGCTGTTGGATGGGATCCACTCCCCCTGAACACGACACAATAAAGCAGCGCACAGAGGTGATAACACAGCCTGTTTTTCCCCTCAACTACAGGAAGCTGCTTTGCTCATAAATCAAAGCTCGTAAATCAAACCGGACCAAAGTTCTGCTTACAGAACTAAGAACCTGCCAGCAGCTTCCATTTCCAGCTCTCCCAACAGGGATGCAGGGAGAGCAGTGGGGATGTTGGGGTCTGGGGAGGCGTCAGTGCCGACCCATGAGAAACATCGAAATGCTGAGGAACATTCTGGCAAACAACGAGCGCTTCTCCTTCCTCATCCCATCACCTTCAACACTTTCAGTTCCTTTAAGACTTTGACCAAATTGTTTTCCCAACATTCTGTTTCGAAACAACAGAGCTCTGCCGGGCACCAACATGGGGGGAAACGCAGAGCACGCAAAGCAACAGCTACAGAACAGCAAGGCATTGCTCAAGATTTGCTTTCTTTAGGCCTCTGTAAGAGCAATGCGTTAATTAAAGCACTGGGGACCCCAGCAGGTGGTACAGAGGTTAAATAGCCATGCCCAGCCCAGGCTGCTGTGCCGTTTGATGGTACATGGAGCAAACAAAACATCTGCTGGAGGAGCAGCCATGGGCTCCAACAGCAAAGCTCCATCCCCAAACAGCCAGCCGTGCTCTCAGCCTTACCCAGTCCTGCAAGCTGCACAGCAAACAGGGATGAGCCTGAATAAGGCTGATCAGGAAGGCACAGCTGCTATCAGGACCTGTCTGGGTGCCTTTTGAAAGTAATCTCATTCAAGTTGTACTCTTGTATTCTTTGGGGGGGGTTATTATCCTCAAAATTAGAAGCAAGATACTTTATTGTGACCTTCTACTTGTATCCCAACTCATTTTGCTTGTCTTCTTTCCTAAGGCACGACTGCACTTCTCACCTTGGGTGGCGAATTCATAAAGCTGCTGCAGAATGTTTAAAAAAGTCACCCAAAAAATAGCAAAGCAAATGGATCCCAAAGGAGACCTGGTTCCTGTCCACAGCATCTCAGACCAAGACCGCTTCAGGCTGCTTTGCCTGGTTCGAAGGAAGAGGAAAGCCAGATTCCGCCCGTTTCCCTCCTACAGAAGGACAGAATTCCAGCTCCACGACGTGCTGCTGCCTGCGGAGGAGAAGGACAGCGTTGGTAAAGCCCACATTTACCATCCTGCACAGCCCTGCTTTCTCTCGGTGGCCAACAGGGAGCTCATCAGCCTGTAACACAACGCATCATTGCAGAGTCCCTCCTTCCCAGCACTGAGAGCCACAGCCCACGGGAGTTCACAACCACGGGAAGCATCAGAGACAGCGTGGATGGGAGCCTCAGCATCCCCTGTGAGCCTGCAGAAGTAGAACTGGGAGGAGGTGCCTCGGTGTCCAAGCAGTGGCACATCAAGCTGGAAAAGAAGCACATCCTGGTACCCAAACTTGAGGCACTGAGAGAGGAAAGGTAAGGAAGACATCAAGGCAGACTGCACCCCCTGCTTTACGCCCCTCCATCACGCACACAGTGGTTTTCCAACAGCCAAAGCCAAGGCTGTGCACTGCTGTAATTACAAACACTTGATCCCTTCCCATTCCAGTCTCAGCTCCCCTGCACGGCCCTGCAGTGCTGGCAGGTTTGCATTCGCCTCCATCAGATCAGACTCCATCAGATCAGACTCCTCAGGCAAAGGGGAACGCATCGAGGACAGCAGGAATTGCAGCCTGTTGCTGAACCCTTTTTTCCCCTCCCAGAGCCTTCCATTGCATCACTGATGCGCTGCACAACACGAGGAACACAAGCATGCTGCTGCAGGCTCTGAGCAGCTTGCATTGCTGCAACAAAAACGCGACACGTTTAGCAGATGCCGCATCCTTTCCTCTCCTTTAGGAAAATCAACACGAAGCACAGCTTCATCGAGCAGCTGAGGAAGGCCAGGCAGAACTTATATGTGATCCACGAAACGATAGAGACCTCAGAGGAGGCCCGATACGAGGAATCCACGGAGGCGGAGGCGAAGCTCATGGCTCAGCTTTACGCCAAGTTCTCTGCTAAGGTTTGCCTTCTCCTCAGCTCGGGATCCCATCCTCCCCATCCCCATACATCACGCAGCCCAGTAAGGGATTTTTCACTGCCCAGGGCACCACCGGGAGCAAACAGAGCATAACCATCCCCAGGGGCTGCACACTGGCCTTCAGGGCGATGCAGCTGACCATCGGGGACGCAGCGTGGGGTAAGAGGCACAGAAACTCCCAGATCCTCCACCCAGCAAACTCCGCAGCACAGCAGAAGTGCTCTGCGATGTGCTCTACCCTGAGCTCGTCTGCAAGCACAGCTCTGTGACAGAAGCAGTTTTAACCTGCACTTGCTGCAACGCTTTGGGCAACCCAGAGCCGAGCCAATGCTCAGCCTTCGGTTCAAAACAAAACAACCAGCACCACCCATCCAGCTCCAGGTGTTTTCTAACCCAGCGATTCCATCTTCGTACTGTTACAGGTATCAACCATTTTCCAGAGAATGATCAACCAACGTTTGCATCTGACGGTAAGCACCGTGTTTTAATCCCTCTTTGCACCGCTGTTTCCCATCTGGGAAGGATGGGGTCCCTTGGGACACTCACAAACCCCCAGAGCTGCTGCTGCTTCCTGCCTACAACCTGAGCCACAACCATCCAACGCAAATCTGAGCATCATTTACTTTGACAGTATTCACAGCAGTGTTTTAGATTCTCTGTACAGGGCTGGCAATCACTGCAGGATTGCCTCATTTAAAAGTGGAATATTTGGTCACTTTCTGGCTTGCAGGTTTTGCACACAGAGAAGTAGATGCACTGGAGAAAGAAGTTAAAGAGAAGTGTCACGTTCTGTCCCAGCTGGCTGATGAGCTGAATGCCATTGTTGTGAAGTCCATCAAAGCTGTCATGAGAGACAGGAACCTCCTTGAGGAGCTGACCGAGAAGGTAAGCAGAGTTTCTGAGTCCAAAGCCTTTACCTGTGGTCACATCTCCAGAAGGCTTTGTGCACACAGCTGTGGCACAGCTCCCCACGTTCACCTGGCCCTCATCCCCACCCAGAATGACAGAGATGCTGGGATTCTTGGCTCTGTGGTGCATTGCAAAGAAGCCCTTGCAGGAACTTCAGTAAACCCTGCGAGTTCCTCCCCTTTTTCTCACAGATGGAAGCCGTCCTCGATGACCCTGATAACTGTGAGCTGACAACACAGAGCCCAGACTTGGACGTTCTGCTCAGCACACTTCGGATTTCTGCCCGCTGTGATCTCCTCAGCCTGACAGAAGCCATCTCCTACACTCTGGATGCCTTCACTGGTAAGGGCTGCAGGCACAGAGCGATGCCTGCATTCGTCCCATAGGGAGGCCGTGCAATTCATGCAGTTTGAAGTGCCCAGAGAACTGCTGAGAATGCAGGCACCCAATGCAGGACCCAGGTCAGCCTTCTCACCTCTGCAAACACCCCGGGGTGATTCGCTGCCTTCGTGGCACAAATCTCTTTTAATGATCCAGAGTTAACAGAAGATCAGCTGCTGCTATTGCTGGAGTCTTGGGAAGTGAAGATTGTGCCCCAACAGCTTAAACTGGTGAGAAATACACAGCACTGATGGTTGGCTCTAAACAGAGGGTGGGGGTAATGGGAGTTCAAGCAAAGCAACGTTCATGTTATGGGATGCTGGCAGCGTATCACAGCTTGAGGAAACCCTGGGGAGAGGGAAATGAGCCGCTGCTCCAAATGTGGCAGGAATCAAAAATGTAAAGGGTGAGAAGTATATAAACGTGCACAGTTCAGTACAGCTACAGATGACAGAAGAGATCACGGAGCCTTAACTTCCAACTGCAGATTGTCAGAATGCTGATTTTGCTTCTTCTGTTGTTGCAAAGGTGAGGAGCATCCTGGAGCCGAAGGCAGAGCACAGCACTGCTGCTGGTTTGCTCTCCTCCTTCAGCCAGCAGCAGCAGCAGCAGCTGACCATGGCGGTGCTGGAGATGAGCGGGGTGGAGCTGCAGGGGAGCAGCGCTGCTGCCTGCAAAAAGGAGAACTTCCCATCCCTGGCAGCTCTGTACGCAGCCCTGCATGCACTGCACTGCCTGAGTGCATCCTGATGGGCGACGCGGGTCCCCCTGTTCGGGCTGATTGAAAAGCAATTACCTGATACAATTAAAAAGCAATTCCACTGAGTTCCTTTATTCAAGCTGCAAGCACAGCAAGGTGGTTTGGTTCGATTTTTAAGAGCTCACTGCTGCTTTTCCCACTCGTTTCCAAGCAGGCTTAAAGCAACAGAACTAACAGAGCCCAAAAGCTGGGTGCCAGCAGTGCTCTTGTCTCCCTTCAAAGTGCAGTAGGGAAGGAGGCGCCCCGCAGCCTGGCGGCCGCTCGCCCCCCGCACCGTCACACGCAGCCCCGGGGCTGGGGAGCGCCGCGCCGCCAGCTCCGAACGCGGCCACGTGCTTCCGCGCAGGCAGCAAGCGAGCGCGCATGCGCCGCGAAAGTGACGAAAGCAGCCGAGAGGCGACCGGAAATACCCGAGAGCTTACCGGAAACTCCCGAGCGCCCCCGGCGGAAGTAACCGAGTAGGCGCTGAGCTCGGCGCTCGATCGCTCAGGTCTGGCGGGAAGGCTCGGCGCCGATTGGTCGCGCCTGCCCCGTCCCGGCGCGCCCCGCGCGTGTTGCAGTGTCACCGGCGCGGCCCGGCCATGAAGCAGGACGGGGCGGCCCGGCGGCGCGGGGAAAAGGCCAAGGCGCCTCCCGACGGACCGCCGCCCGCCCCTCCCGACGTGGAGATGCAGGAGGAAACGGCGGCGGTGCCGGCGGGGGAGGCGGGAGGGGAGCGGCAGCCCCAGCGGGAGTTGGATGCCATCACGCTGGAGGGTGAGCGGCGGACGGGGGGGGGCGTGCGGGCGGGGGTCTGAGCTGAGGATTGGGGGGCGGTGGACGGGGGGCTGTGCTGAGCCCCGAGGGCGGCACTGAGCGTCATGCCCCGACTGTGCCCCACAGACATCAAGGAGCACGTGAAGCAGCTGGAGAAGGCCGTGTCGGGGAAGGAGCCGCGTTACGTCCTGCGGGCGCTGCGGGCGCTGCCCTCCACGTCCCGCCGCCTGAACGCCAACGTGCTCCACAAGGCCGTCAACGGCTTCTTCACCTCCAACGGCGCCGTGCGGGATTTCCTTCTTGGCTTCCTGGAGGAGGTGCGGCTGTGGGGACCGCGCTGCGCCCCCGCGGAGCCCCGGCAGCTGCCGTGTGGGGCGGGAGGGCGACGAGGGGCTGCGTAGGATGGGATGCGGGCTCTGGGTGGGCCGGGCTGACATCCTGCACGTCTCTGCCCCCTGCAGCCCATGGACACAGAAGCTGAGCTGCAGTTTCGCCCTCGGATGGGGAAGGCGGCCTCGGCTCCTCTCTTGCCAGAAGTGGAGGCTTACCTGCAGCTGCTCCTCGTTATCTACCTGATGAACAGCAAGCGATATCCGGAGGTGAGGCGCCCCGAGACGTGGCTCTAAACCTGAGCCCTTTGCGTGGCACTCCTGGGAGCCTCGGGACCTGCCTCCCCTCTGTTCCAGCCTGGGGCAGCCTCTGGGCTCCTGCTGCTCCTCCCGGGCCGCCGTTCCTCTTCTCTGACCACAGTTTCTTTCCTGCAGGCTCAAAAAGTGTCTGATGACCTGATGCAAAAGATCAGCTCCCAAAACCGCCGGGCCCTCGACCTGGTGGTGGCAAAGTGTTATTACTACCACTCCCGCATCTATGAATTCCTGAATAAACTCGATGTGGTCAGGAGGTAGGGCTGACCCCGCACAGCTGGGCTCTCCCTGTGTTCTCTCCCTTTCCCCTGCACGCTCTCTCCCTCCCCTGCAGCTTCCTGCACGCCCGCCTGCGGACAGCCACGCTGCGCCACGACGCGGACGGCCAGGCCACGCTGCTCAACCTGCTGCTGAGGAATTATCTCCACTACAACCTCTACGACCAAGCAGAGAAACTCGTCTCCAAGTCGGTGTTTCCCGAGCAGGCCAACAACAACGAGTGGGCCCGGTACCTCTATTACACAGGTGAGATGCAGAAGGTTCTGCGTGGTGCTGGCAGCTCAGGGTGCACACGGGATTGCGGTCCTGCAGAGAACCTCCTGGAGCAGCTGGGGATGAGCTTTCAGGCGGGATGCAGAGCCTCATTTGGTCAGATGTGCTTTTCCACAATGCATTCAGCCCTGTCTGAACGCTGTCCCCCTCCCAGGGCGCATCAAGGCCATTCAGCTGGAGTACTCGGAGGCCAGGAGGACCATGACGAATGCCCTGCGGAAGGCACCGCAGCACACGGCCGTTGGCTTCAAGCAGACAGTAAGCAGCAGCCTGCCGTGCTCCCGTGGGGTCTGCGCTCCGTGGGGAAGCCACCCCTGGACTCGGCCTGGCCTCGGGGGCTCAGGAGCTGTTTCCATGCAAGGTGCACAAGCTGCTCATCGTGGTGGAGCTGCTGCTCGGGGAGATCCCAGATAGGCTGCAGTTCAGACAGCCGTCCCTGAAGCGCTCGCTCATGCCGTACTTCCTGCTGACTCAGGGTACGGTGCTGCTGCCGGGCCCCTGCCCCGATCCCGCTTCAAGGAAAGTCTGGGGGGAGCTGGGGTGCTGCTGGGGTTCCTCTCCCCAGTCTGAGTGGTGCCCATCTGCTGCAGCAGTCAGCAGTTTCCGAAGGGCCGGCTTCTCCTTTCCTCTTAAATGGGGCGGGTGGCAGATGGCAGCCCTGCCTTCCCACCGCACCCCAGCCCTCCCTCCCTCCCTCACGTTTTCTCTTCCACCTTCCCCTGCAGCCGTCAGGACCGGGAACCTGGCCAAGTTCAACCAAGTCCTCGATCAGTTTGGGGACAAGTTCCAGGCCGATGGCACCTACACTCTGATCATTCGTTTGAGGCACAACGTCATCAAGACGGGTAGGAGGTGTGGCGGCTGGGGACCGTGCCACCACCAGAGGCCTGGTGGGAGGCTGCCGCCCTGCGCTGCATGGTGTGGGGCTCCACTCGTGTTTCCCCTCCCTCCCAGGCGTCCGCATGATCAGCCTCTCCTACTCCCGCATCTCCCTGGCTGACATTGCCCAGAAGCTGCAGCTCGACAGCCCCGAGGATGCGGAGTTCATCGTTGCCAAGGTAGCTGTGCAGGAAGCCTCATCCCTGCTGGGACCCGGGCTGCCCACCGCTCCCGCCAGGCCTCTCCTGCCCTGCCCCCACCACGCTCCCTTCCCAGGGCTGCTGGTTTTCGGTCGTGCCGCTCTGGGGGCGCTGAGGGCACCGACTCCCATCTCTGTGCGCTGTCCTGAGCTCGCCGCTCCCCAGCGCCTTGCTTTGCTCTGAGCTGCTGCCTCCTGGGAGGTGGAGCTGCCCTGACCGCTCTCTGGCTCGCAGGCCATCCGGGATGGCGTGATTGAGGCCAGCATTAACCACGAGAAGGGCTACGTGCAGTCAAAAGAGATGATCGACATCTACTCGACCCGGGAGCCCCAGCTGGCGTTCCACCAGCGCATCTCCTTCTGCCTCGACATCCACAACATGTCGGTCAAGGTGAGCGCAGCGCAGCTCCGTGGGGACCCTGGGGGGCTGAGGGAGCACCGGGGTGGCACAGAGGGAGGAGGCAGTTTGGCTCGGGCTGCAGTAGAGCTGCTGTGAGTGGAGGAGCAGAGGGGCAGAGCGGAAGCGCTTCTCAGCTCATTGCTTCTCGCCTCCCTTGGCTTTCCAGGCCATGAGGTTCCCGCCCAAATCTTACAACAAGGACTTGGAATCTGCAGAGGTGAGCTCTCGCCCTCTCCCTGCTGGCTCCAGGATGGGGCCGGCTTCGTTCCGCAGCTCCGTCCCCAACGTTGGCCTTTGCTTTCCAGGAGCGCCGGGAGCGCGAGCAGCAGGACCTGGAGTTCGCCAAGGAGATGGCAGAGGACGATGACGACGGTTTCCCGTGACCTCTGGCCTGGCTCTGTGTTTTTTTAATTTGTCCTTAGGGAAAATGCTGTCTGAGGAGAGCTGCCCCACGCGGCCCCGGTCCCCCCTCTGCCTTTCTTTTATAAGTACCTGCATGTCTGTACTGGGAGCGGGGGGCTCGCAGGGTTCGTCGGCCCCCAGCCACAGGCCCTGATCTCCTGTTCCCTCACCCACGGAGGGAAACCCTTCCCCAATAAACAAACATTCTTTTGAGGTTGCCTGTGGTCAGTCGTTGCTGAGCCCTGTGGGGCGCACACGGATCCAAGAGAGCCGGAGCTCCTGTGGACGAGGCCGCGGTAGTGGGGCTTCCTGGGCATCACTGTTACCCCCACAGCTCTTGCACTGATGGAGGGGTCAGACTTTGTTAAGCTTCAATTATGACTTTAAAATAAAACTCGGAAAAACACCCCCCTGTCCTCCTGCCGTGGGTTTGTTGTGCTCGGAGGGGAGCTGTGCTGCCTCCTCCCCTCCCATCCCTACTGGAAAAGGCTCCAGGGTGGGGCCTTGGTGTTGCCCACAGATAACGGAGTGGGGATGGAGGTGGGGTGGGGGCCCCACAGCCGGGTGCTGCTGGCAGCTGGGAGCAGCTGCTCTCGGCCTCTGGGGAAAATCTGGGAATCTCCCAGCACGCCTGGGCTGGGCTGGCGGCCAGGGCTGTGCCTCCGGAATGGGGCAGCCCCAGAGAATGGATACAGCCCCGTCCCTGCTGCAGGAACACGGCTGGGGTCTCTGGGTCAGGACGGGGCTGTGAGCCCAGCCAGCACCTTCCAGGGACGCGGGGACACCCCGGAAGCGGTGACTTCCTGGCGGATGCTGGGAGGGGGGCTGAGGGTCAGCAGAGGAAGAGTGGCCACGAGGCAGAACCGCAGCGCGTTGCTGACCCCGCAGTGCCACCCACGGGGTTTCGGTCTGGCTGCCACTTCCTTCCCTGGAAGCGTGGTGGGGGCTTTGGGTGCTGATTCAACCCCACCCTGAGCCTCAATTCCTGCCAGCAGTGACCTGCTGAGGCAGCAGCGCTGCTCGAGGAACGGCGACCCTGCAGTGCTGTGCAGGGGAACGGCCCCGGCTGCTCCCTGCAGAGCAAAGGCAGAGCTGGAAGGATTCCTCCCAGGAAACCACAGATGGGCTCCCAGCACGAGGTCCTTTCAGGTCCTTTCCCCACCTTTGTGATGGTGGGGTCTGTCATCATTAGGCTTCAGAGTTAACGCCTGCGTGGTGCTGGGTGAGGCCTCCTGTGCTCGTGGGCTTCTTCCCCTTCTGGGGGCTCAGGGGGGGCAACGCTGTGTCTGCACCCCCCCTCTGCACCTCCCTGGGCAGTGCAGGGTGCCCAGCAGCAGCTGACCCAGCTGGCGTCGGCCCATGAGATCCTCCTGGAAGCACTCACTGGAACTGGCCCCGACCCAGAGCCCACGTCACTGCGGGGGGGCCGGGACCAGCCAACCCCCCGGGGCTGCCCCTGGATGCTGCTTCCCCGAAGGGGCCGGCAGGGAAGGTTCACGTGGGGGTTTCAGGCACGGCGCTGCCAGGTGCTGGGTCCCGTGGCCACGGTGGTCCCTCAGCCACGCCGACACCACGGCGAGGGGCTGAGAGCCACCGCCACCATCCCTACTGCACAGCGAGTTAATGAGTGACCAGCCGTGACCAGGAGCGGCACCGGCGCTGCCCACTGCCAGCATTCAGCTGGGCACCGCCGTGCTTCGGTGGCACCGCAGCGCCAGGAAAGCCCCACAGCAGCGCAGCACAGGAGCACCCAGCGCCCAGGATTTGCATGCGGGTGATTAAGACAATGAGGCAATCAGCACTGTTGCCACATCAGTGTGAATCCCCACAGCCCTCTATAAAATGCCCCGATCGATGAGGGCGCGCAGAGCGGGGCAGGGCGCTGTGCCGGGCCGGGCTGTGCTGCAGGAGGAGACACAGAGCCGGACACCATGTGCTGCCTCACCCGTGAGTACTGCAGACCCATGGGTGGCACCGGGGGGCACGTGGGGCCGCGGCCCTTCCGCCCTCCCAGCATCTCCTCCATCCCCTCCTGTGCTCCTTTGGGCTCCCATCCCCGACGGGGGTCCCCAGAGCACCGTTGGGGCGACCCGGTGTCAGCGTGTGACCCGCTGTCCTGCAGATGTGCTGGCGCTGGTGCTGGGCGCTTCGTGGCAGGCGCTGCATGGAGCTCCGCTGGCCGAGCTCTCGGGGGACCACGACTTCCAGCTCTTCCTGCACAAGAACCTGGAGTTCACCCGCAAGATCAGGGGGGACGTGGCTGCACTGCAGCGCGCGGTGGTGAGTGCCCCATTAATGTGACCTCCCCCCCCCCCCAGCCTTATCGGCACTGCGGGGCCGTGGCCGGCAGCCTCCCTGCGCCCCATCCATCCCTGGGCTGCTCCGTCCTCCCCACCTTGTGCTCCATCCCTGCTCCGTGCAGTGAGCGGGGGGTCGCCGTCCTGTGCTCATGCAGACAGTGTGTGTGGGGGGGGGGAGGGGGGGTCCCGCATCCCCTGGGGGTATCGTGGCACCCAGGCCGTCTCATGGGGCTTCACGGGCTCTGCAGCCCTGACCCCGCGCCCTCGCCCGCAGTGTGACACCTTCCAGCTGTGCACGGAGGAAGAGCTGCAGCTGGTGCAGCCGGAGCCTCCCCTCACGCAGGCACCGCTGGATCAGTGCCACAAGCGCGGCTTCCAGGCGGTGAGTGCCAGCCAGCACCCGTGGCACGAGCTGCCCGGCCTCAGCCCGGCCGGGGGTCCGAGCACCAACCCCCCTCCCCGCTGCCTTTCCCCCGCAGGAGGCGTGCTTCAGCCAGATCCGCGCCGGGCTGCACGCGTACCAGGGCTCGCTGGGAGCCGTCCTGCAGCTGCTGCCCGAACACACGGCGCTGGTGGAGACGCTGCAGTTGGACGCCGCCAACCTCTCCACCAACATCCAGCAGCAGGTGAGCAGGGGCGGCACGCGGGGACGCGGGGAGGTGGGGGCGGCCCGGACCCCTCGGTGACACCGCCGCTCCGTGCCGCAGATGGAGGACCTGGGCCTGGACACGGTGACGCTCCCGGCCGAGCACCGCAGCCCCCCGCCCGCCTTCTCCACCGACTTCCAGCGGCAGGTCGGAGGATTCTTCATCCTGGCCAACTTCCAGCGCTTCCTGGAGACGGCGTACCGCGCGCTGCGGCACCTCGCCCGCCTCTGACGCCCGCCGCTCCCCCAAAGCCCCCCCAGCTTATTTAATATTTATGGCTATTTAATATTTATCCGGCCGGGGGGCCCCGCTGCCCCCCAGCCCCCACGCAGGGTGCCGGCCCTGCGCTGCCGTCCGTGCACGGGTCTCTGTGCGGCACCACCCATGTTTAATATTTAAACACAAGCGTATCTCTGCTACGAGGTTTGTGCCAGTGTCCCCGCGGGGAGCCTTCATCCGCTCCGAGGATGCTGGAGCAGCACCGTGTGGGTGCGGGGATGGAGCTGCGGCGCCGCCGCTGCCGGCTCGTTTCTGGGAGCCGTTGGATAAGCAGGGAGGGCAGCGCAGCCCGGGCCGGGGTCCCGCAGTCGGGGCTGAGGCTCCGCTCCGCCCGCCCCGAGCTCCTGTTTACGGCGGTGTAACTTTTTTGTGCCCCCGCACCCACGTTTGTATCTCAGAATCTCACCGCTGCTCCGATCCTCCGAGCGGCGTTTTGTACTGTATTTATTCCTGCAGCTGGGTCAGCCCCAGAGCAGCGTGTGCTGTTTTTTATACATGTCAAAACGATGGAAATAAACTCTATTTTGGCTCCAACATCTGCGCTGCGTGCACCTCCACGAGATGAAGCTGTCCGGGGAGGGGGGGAAAGGAAGGAGGGCTGCTGCTCCGGGACCCCCGGATGCCACAGAGCCTCCGAGAGCAGCGGGGACGGGGATGTGGGGACGCCAACACAGAGGGCTGCGCCCAGATCTCCATGTGGCAACGGGGAGGGGACGCGTGGGGCGCAGGATGTGAGCCGGGGGCCGTTTCCTCTCCCCATCCTGTGGCGCTGCGTGGGCAGAAAGTTCTTAGAAAGCACCGCAGATGTGCGCTGCGTCCGGGCAGCAGCAGAGCTGGTGATGCCGCCGGTGGCATTGGAGGTGGTGGCGGTGGTGGCACTGCCCCAAAACCTCTCCGCAGACCCCAGGCGGTGGCGGTGCGGAGCTTCAGCCGTTCCCCTTTCTCTGCCCCCCACGAGGCGTTCGCCCCACAGCTGCTGCGGACGCTCCAGGAGCCGCGCGCACCGCGCTGGAGCTTCGGCAGGGAGAGAAGGGAGCCGAGCAGCCACGGGGACGCGCTGAGGGCACGCAGCGGGGCCGGGAGAGCCCCGCACGGCCGTCCCCGGCCGCTCCCCGATGCCACGCGGCTGCCGCCTCGCCCCGGGCCGTCCCCGCGTCCCCAAACGCTGCGGCATCCGCTGCCTCGCGCCCGTCCCGTGCTCACATCCTGTGACCGCCGCCGTCCCCGCACCGCGGCTGAGCTGCGGGTCCCGAGGGGTCCCGTCCCACCCCGCACCCCCCAAACCTCCCGGCACGGAGGCGGTTCGCGCTGTGCCCCGCCAGCTCCCAGCCGACGGCAGCAGCGCTCCTTCCTGCCCCCTTATCAGCGCTTACAGGAAACCCCTTCTCCCGGCTCCAACCCTTTCCTGGAAGGTGAAGCGCTGGGAAGGGCCAAAGCTGCGCACAGGGCTGCAAATATTGACAGAGCGACGGAGCAGCTGCTCTTTGCTCCGTGTTAACGGTAAAGAGGTGTGCGGCCGGTCAGTGCCAGCGTGCCGAGGACCGGGGGCTGTGAACCCCAGCGCGGGGCTCAGAGCAGAGCTGCCCAAGGAAGGCAGGTGCCTCCCCCAGCCTGGGCGCCGCTCTTCTTTGCTGTGAGCCAAGCAGAAAGCACAGCCCAAAGGATGGGAGGCCGGGTGCCCCTGGCACCCCCTTGGGGATGGGGTTTGGTGACGCTCAGCAGGGCAGCTGACCGCTGCTCTGTTACTCACTGCAGGCTGGGCGCTGCGCTCACACGGAGGAATTTCCAACAGGAATGTGCTTGCAGCTGACAGCGAGGCAGGAAAGCATCCCCGCTCCGCCCCGAGAGCAGCACACAGCACCTCGTGCAGGGCTGCAGCCGCCCACCACCACCCCAGGCCAAACCAGGGCTGGGGCCGAGCCCCACGGCGCCGCTCTCCCATCCCACTGGGGCTGCGATGCCATCGGCAGCACGGGGGGAACACGGGGCAGGGAAAGCAGGACGAGGCTCTGGGAGCAGCCAGGATCCCTGTGAATCAGCCCACAGCAGCACCGTTAGGTGCTGTGATTCACCTGCATCCTCCTCCAGCCCCCGCCGCGGGCAGAGCGGCGTTCGGCTCTGCAGTAGGGACCGAGTGCCACATCCTCCCTGCCCAGCGCAGCACTGCTGCTCACTGCCCTCCCCTGCCCCAGGGCAGGGCCGGCCCCAGCCTCTGCCTCAGCACCAGCTCAGAAAATCAAAGAGGAACGAGGCAACGCCAGATTCTACAAAAGGAATGAATGAATTAGAAAAACAACGAGCAGTGGGGTGATCTCAGCCTCGGACAGCCCCGTGTGAGCCTGCCTCGGGGGCTGGGCACGGAGGGGAGCTGCTGGCAGCTCTGCCCTCACACGGGGCAGCATCAAACCAGGGTGATGGAGAGAGTTTCAGGGGTCCCAGCCCCAGTCTGGCACTCAGACTCCTGGAAGCCCCCCAGCAGCCACTCTGCACCTCTGTCCCACACAGCAGAGGCAGAGCCACGCTCACAGCGCAGCAATGGCTTTGGCAGCGACGCGGCGGCCCAGGGGCAGACCCAGATCCGTGATGGCCAGGACGATTTTGGGACTGGACATGGTGGAGACTTTCACCAGCTCTGAAACCTGGCAGAAGAGGAACAGAGCTGACACCTTGGGGTCGCAGAGCAAAGTGCAGAACTCAAAGCAGCTCCTCTGCACTCCCCCCACGCTCTCCCCATTCCCCAAGTGTCCCTGGCCCGTGGGGCAGAGCAGAGAGGAGGACTCACCATGGTGAAAGGCATGAACTGCAGGATGCTGCCGTGGCTGCCCTGCTCCAGGCAGTCCACGCACTCCTCCATGAACCACTGCACGAACTGCGTGTGAGTGCCAGCTGTCTTGGAGCCCAGGATGGAGGAGATGAGCAGGAAGAGGTTTGCTGTGTGGACAGGGAGCCGTCAGGGCAGGCGGGCTGCAGCAGCTGAAGGCACAGCTCTGCCTGCCCGCGTGGCTGGGTGACCCCCATCCCCGTCAGCCCAGCTCACAGCCAGCCTTCAGCAGCAGGCTGCAGCCCCCCTTACCCAGCACTCTGTTCAGAGGGTCCCTCATGCTGACAGCGTGCAGCTGGGAGGCAGACAGGGAGCTGCTCATGGAGCGATCTGCCGGGGAAAAGAGCGTCAGGATGGGGCCGGGGGATGCTTGGAGCCCTCACTGCCCTGAGCCATGGGGGGCACCCAGCCCTCGGTGCCCCACAGAGGAGCACAGCAGGGCTGACCCCAGCTGCCCATCCACGCACGTGTCCCTGGCACGACGGAGATGCGTCAGCACGCTCTGCTCTTGCACATTTCTTCCAATCTGACCAAGCCCAAAGACATTTCCAAGGGTGAGCGTGAGTGAGCGAGCGCCTCCCTGCTGGGCTGTCACAGCACGGTGACTCGGCCCTGACACCTCACGAGAGCACAGTAATGCAGTGTCACGACTGAGGAGCAAGCAGGGCTCAGCCTGGTGCACGGCCCGGACACATCCTGTGAGTGCTGCCAGCAGGGCGGGCCAGCCCAGATGTCCCACAGCTGCACAGCAGCACTCACAGCTTGCTCTCGGGTAGGACTGAGCTGTCAGAGCCACGGCGAAGCCAATGACAGGCAGCAAACAGGGGGCAGCCAAGGGGGGGATCTGTGTGGCCCCCACCCCGAGGTGCTGCTGGGTGCTGCTGCCCAGTGCTGCTCCTGGGCTGAGCCACGGGATGCAGCCGCTGCTGAAAATCAGCTCTCGTGCTGGGATGCTCTGGAGATGCTCACCAAGAAACAAAAGCCCTCCCCCAGTTTTCTCATGGAATCACATGAGTTATGGGGCTGCTGCAGGAAGCAGGATTTCCACATCACGGCAGCAAACAGCCCAAAAAAAGTCCTGAGTGTCACTGGAAAGAGGTGGAACCGCACCAAGAGTTAAATAAAGATATCGAAACAAAGGGAAAAGCCCGCATTTCAACAGTGATGAAACCAAGACAAACCACAGGTTATTGTTGTGTTGGAAAAATGGCAAATAAAGGAGTTGGGGTGAGGCAGTCAGGACACAAGAATGACCAAGGAGAGCCCTGAGTCACTGCTGGGAGCCCAGACACACGTGGGATGGGGGCTGGAGGGCACGGGGGCCCACAGCACGTCCTGCCGGGGCTGTTGCAACCTGCAGCTCAGGGATGCGGAGATGCAACCATGAGGACTCATCAGCTCTGCTGGCTGCATTATTAATAGTGGTGGAATTTGAGGATTTGGCCACAGCCATCACAGACGTCACCTCCTCGCTGGGCTGGGGACATCGGGTCTCCGATCCCACAGAGATCGACTCCAACTAAACCTCCCTGGGCCTTTCATGCCTGTGGCACTGGGTCAGGTGGCACGGAGGGAAGGTGGCACCTCATCACCTTTCCCAGCTTGCTCTGATCACAGAATTCAAAAGCATGACCTTCTGGAGCAGAAGCTCCACAGGAAGTCGGCAAAACGCATCTGAATGCTCCACGTGGTTTCGAAATGCCCCACTATTGTTTGGTGCTGCTGCAGATCCATCCTGACAGCACAGGGACCCCCTGCACCCTGCCGCTGACCCCGAGCCTGCAGGCAGGCAGGCGGCACACAGGTGACAACGGTGCAAGGGTTGGAAAGGTGTAACTGTGCAGAGGGGAGCAGAGCCCCCCCCCCGCTGTCTCCCAGAGCATTTGGCCAGCTTGGGAAGGAAGCCCAAAGCACGTTTCTCACCCAGGAGGGAGCAGCGAGGCAGGCCGGCGCCGTCCCTGGGAGCAGCCCCCCCCCCCCCCTGCACTTACTGGGGCTGGAGAGGATGTTGGCGTCTTCCTCATTGGAGCTGAGCAGGCGCATGAGCTTGGAGGGCCGCGTGTCGTCCAGTGGGAACAGGCTGATGTAGTCCTGGGGGGCAGAGGGGGGTCAGCCCCACCAGCCTCTCTCTGTGAGGGACCCCAGCCCCCTCCCCAGGGCCGACAGCCACCCAGCTGGGCTCTGCACAGCTCTGGAATCACAGCTCTCGGTTCACCCACAGTGACTCGGTCTGGCTGGCCCTGAACAGACCCCCAAGGGAAAACCCCATATTCCAAGGACGAGAGACCAAACCTCAGACACTTCAGTGAACCTGGGTGGTGAACCCCACCTCAGCGACCCCCTTTTCCTCCTGCAACCACGGCCTTCCAGCAAGATCCCATTCCCACGGGCACAGAGCTCCCAACCAAATCCAGCTCCGTGCCAGACACACCTCAATGTCCTCTCGGTGCCTCTTCTTCTGCCTGGCAGATGCCTGGCCCTTGTTGTGGGAGGAGTAGGAGCTCAGGGCACACCAGACAGAGAGCCTGGGGATGGAGCAGGGCAGAGGTGTGAGTTCACCTGGACGGCGGTGAGAGCCCACAGCTCCTGCCAGGGCTTTGCTGGCTCAGACCTCCCCACCCCAAGGCGTCCAGAGAACTGGGGGCTTACTTAGCCAGAGCCTTCCCCGGAGGGTCCATGAGGGTGTGCCACTTGGAGGAATCGGTGAGCAGATTGGGCAGGATGTGGCCCAGCAGGGTCAGCGTCAGCTGCTGCATGTCCAGGCAGAAGATGGCATAGAGCAGCTCCACGGCTCGCAGCGTGTGCTCCTTCCGCGTCTCCTTCAGCAGCTCCTGCGAGGCACAGGGCAGAGCTGAGGAGGAGAAGGGCACGGCAGGACCTGCCCCGCTCAGCCCTCGCACCCAGGACAACCATCACAGCCGGCCCTGCCACCAGAGCCCAGGCCTGAGCTGGCCTGGAAGCGGTGACCGCCTCCCTGCTCCACTTCGTACCTTGACCAGGTTGTTGCAGAACCAGTAGACCCCTCCCATGTGCAGCAGGGTGTCGAAGATGTGGATGGAGCGGCTGTCGACCCAGCCCTTCTCCAGCACCTTGGTGAACACGCTCGTCAGCACCTCCTTGATGGGCTTCTTGGGGGGCAGCAGGTTCCAGTAGGGGATGGTGTCCATGCCCGTGGATGGGAACTTGATCTGCGTGGCCGTCTGCTGCAGGACATCCGCACACATGTGCTCCAGGATGGAACTCATGATCACCACGCTGCGGCACAGGGACACAGGTCAGGAAAGAGGCGGGCAGCGAAGGGAAGAAGCGGCTGGCGCGGGGCTCACCGCTCGTTGTAGAACTGCAGCGTGTTGTCGCCGTACAGCGGGGTGGCCAACTGCCGGATCATCTGCAGCGACTTCTCCCGCTCATCCAAGCCCAGCATGCGGACGTGGGCCACCAGCCAGGCCACGGCGCACACCGCCATGCTGCACACCTTGCCCTTGATGTTGTCTGTGATTTTCTAGAGATGAGAGCGGATGTGGATGAGCACTGACACGTGCAGGGGCACAGGCTCCAGCCCAGCATCAGCTCCTAGGCTCTGCCCCAAACTGCTCCGTGCCCGTCAAGCCCACAATCACCAATGGGGCAGCATCGGTGGAGCCACGTTAGCTCTACATGCAAGCAGCCAGGGAGCTCTGCATTGGCTGCAGCAGCATCTGGAGAAGGAGGGTGGGGGCCCTGCCTTCTCACTGCTCAGCCCTTCCTTACGGCACGGTGCAGCGCCGGCCCCATTCTGCCCTGCAGACCCACCTGGATGGACTCAAAGGTGAGCACGCTGTTCTCCCAGGCATTGAGGATCTCCAGGATGGCAGCCGAGATGCTCAGACACACCTCGTGCCAATTGATCTGCCTATCAGAGGAGAGACAGGGGTCAGGCACTCGCACAGAGCTGCTCTCCTCCCTCCATCTCTACCGGATGGGCTGAGCTCTTACACCAGCTTCATCTCAGAGGAGTTGTTGAGGAGGGCGACGAGGGATTCCACCTTGGTGGAGTCAGGGCGGAAGCAGGGATGGTCGGGGTTGAGGATCTTGCCCTCCTCGGGCATGCAGGTCAGCATCCAGGTCTCAAAGAAGGGCACCTCGTCTGCCGGCCTCGACTCTGACAGGATCACCTGGAAGGGAACCGGCTCTGGGTCCCCCCATAACCTGCCTGGGGACCCCTGCCCTGGAGAGAACAGCCGGGGCCAGCACTGCTCTCACGGGGCCACTCGGCCCCCAGGCTGCTCTCAGGCTCCCCCCACGGCTCTGCTGGGCCGGGGCACGCAGCCCAGCTGGCAGCCAGCTGCAAGGGCTCCCGGGGGGAACACAAGCTGGGAATCCCGCACGCTGCTTCCTCCTTTCAGCCCTGCGGCACCCGAGGGACGCTATTTTTGACAGAAGTGTTGCACATCTGTTCAGCAGCAGCTGGTCAGAAAAAGTTGCTCTGGGCTCAGACCTCATCGGAGAGCCCCGGGCACATCCGCCCCAGGCTGCCGCCAGCCAGGACTCCCCCTCTCCGCTCCCTGGGCAGCCCCCCACCCAAGTTTTTCACTCCCTCTCCACGTCTGCAGTGTTTCGGTATCATTTTACCTCCTGACACGCACACATGTTGAAACGTGGAAAATTTTCATGTAACCCAAGTGCCTCTTCCTGAGCAGGGCTGCAAGTTCCTCATCTGCCAGAGGAGGGCTGACATCCACCAGCCCTCCCCAACCAGCCAGAGCCAAACTGTGCCGTGCTGGAGGAGCAAGGCTGGGAAAAGTGCTGGGAGAAGAGAGCCAGCCTGGAGAGGGTGAGGCGGTGGCAATAGCATAGCATGGAAAAGAGGGGCACAAAAAGCCCCTGGGAACGCTGTGGCCACTCTGGCTCCATCGCTTTGCACCAGGCAAAACACGCTGGGCACCTCACCCACAGCAGGGTGCTGCTGGAGGGGCGGCTGTGGGCGGTGAGGACAGTGACAAGGCAGCGGTGACAGCAGCACGGCCGCTAGAGGAGGCTGGCAGACTTCAGCACATGGGCTGCTGCTCTCACAAGGTCAGAACCCCAATGGCTGCCTTCCAGAACCGCTTACCTCCGAGCCGTAAGTCTGGGCCACATGGCACAGCATGAGGAACGAGATGTCGAAGAGAAGGGCCCGAACCGGGGCGGACTTGGCTGGGAAGAACAGACAGATCTCAGGGAACTTCAACCAGAGAGGAAGGCAGGAGCCCTGTCAGCTTGGGGGTTGAGTCCCCGCCTCCTCTAAGGTGCTTTTCTGATGCCCCAGCGTTTGAGTGTGAATGAGGGCTCTAAAGAACCAAGTGCCTCCCTCACCCCTGTCTGTCCCAGCTCCCAGATAGAGCTCCCAGAGAGGCTTTGACCTCTATCTGGCAGCCCCAGTTCAACCCTGGGCTCCCCAGGTGCCACAGAAGGTCAGAGCACTCAACATGTTTAATCACACGTAAAAGCAGTCAGAGTCCTTATCTCGGGCTGCGTGCTGACACATCACCCCTTCCAGGGAAGGAGCTGGGGCAGGGCCGGCCCCAAGGGGCCCCAAGGGCAGGGAAGGGGAGAAGGGAGCTCAGGATGGACACCCGTGTGCCATGGGTGAGAACTGGGGACCCCCAGGATCCCAGATCCCTGCCGGCACCTGGCCATGCCTGGCGCAGCTCGGCCCAACCCCTGCTTAACCCAGCACGTGGCAGCAGGGGAAGCACAGCTCGAGCCACCCCACGCACGGATGCGCACGCACTTACAGTTTTCTGTGCTGATGTGCTTGGTGAATTCATTCAGCCTAGAGGGGGCAGAGAGAGCTGCAGTGAAGCGTTATCATCAGACAAAGCAGCCCTCCTCCCACCAGAGATGGGAACAGGGCTGCCCCTGCCCGCAGCAGCACAGAGCCCGGACGCGATGCCACGCTCCCAGCTGGGCCTCACGCTGCCCCAGGCCCTGCCATGTGAGGAGGGCATCACAGCCCCACGCGTGCTGTGCGTGTGCTCTAAGCAGGACACAGATGCCTGGGGAACAAAGGCGTGCACACAGCAGCGCCTCAGAGCCGGGGCTGTGCTGGTGCTTTCAGCCCTAACACAGCTGAAACGGATTCGACTTGGATGTTGCACCCCTTTCACAAAGAAGCAAAGGAGGTGGGATGCTCTGGGGTTCAGACCCCAAGGTCCCAGCCCTCTCCAGAGCCCTGCTGGTGCTGCACAGCCAGAGCCAGACCCAGCTCTGAATGTGGTGGGAGCACGGGCTCAGGAAGGAGAAAGGCAGAGAGCAGAGAGGCAGCCAACTCACCCAGCCCCACTAGCACATATTCCAGGTGGGCACTCACTTGATGAACTTCCAAGCAAAGGATTTGAGCTTGCCAGTCGCTGCTGCTGCTGCCAACAGCAGGTCCAAGCTCTTCCCAGACAGCATGTGACCCAGGACCCCCAGCAGGCCCTCGGGGGATTTGGAGTGATCCGCATCCATAGTCTACAAAAGGAAAAAAAAAAAAAGAAAAAAGAAAGAAGTCACGGGGAAAGCATGTTACAGAGCAGCAATAAAACTCCAGCCACAGAAGCAGAGCTGATCAGCTGCCAGAGTCATCCCACAGGGCCTCTGTCTGCAGGGACCTGCAGGGCTTAGATGGAAGGGGAGGGACCCCCGGAGTCCCAGGCTCTGCAGAAAGGAAAGCTGCAACATGCTGGGGCAGCACAACCAGAAGAGAAATGTCTGCACCAGAAGAGCGGCAGGAGAGACACAGGGAGGAGGAGGTGCTGGGGATGGGGGAGATGCACGGTGGGGAGGATGGGCAGAGCAGGCTGGGCTCACGCTGCTGGCACCAACAATGCATTGAGCTGCCTGACAGCTCCACCAGCTTCCTGGGAAGGAGGAGGGGAGTCCTGAGCTCCACGGCAGAGACTGCAGCAAGGCTGGAGGCAATTCCTCCATCTCAGCACAGGGTGGGAGAAGGCATCTCCTGAGCACCCTGGTGAGCCCAGTGCTCCTGGAAGCCAGCTGAGGTGTGGAGATCGGACTCCTCAGCACTGTAATAGGAGGGGACTCACCTTCAGGATGTTGGTGACAGTCGGCTCGGCCCTCAGGATGAGCCTGGGGTTTGGCTGGATGTTGGCATTCTCTGCTGATTGCAACTGCGGAGCATCTTCCCTGTCTGCTTTGCTGGTGATCCACAAAGAGAGGCTCTTGAGTAGGAATTTTGTCACCCTACCCCTCTCTCCTCAAGACTCAGCCCCCCACCACCTCCAAGGGAGGGCGCCAGCTCTGAGAGGACAGGCTCTGCCCTGCTCTAGCACCAAAAGCAAAGCTTCATCCCCTCCCGGCCAGGATGCCCCAGCTGCAGGACAGACAGCAGCACCACAGCTGATCAATACTCCCTGAAGGGCAGTGAGACAAGGTGCCCCAACCTCTCTGGGCTACCAGGCTCCACGAGGGCCGTACCGTTTATCAGTCAGGTTGGTCATGTTGGCTTCTGAGAGCAGCCCCTGTTTGCTGCACTCCTGCAGGAGCAGACTCATGCAGTTGCAGCTGAAAGAGGGAGAGCAGAGCATTAGCCCCAGGAACAGCCTCCCTGCTGTCTGAGCAGCGGGTGCAGACCTCCCCCCACAGACCAGCAGAGCCATGCGACCATTTGCAGACTGGGATTCAAGCAGTCAGGACTCCTGAGCCTCCTGCCTGCCTCCATTCCCCCACTCTGAGGGGGATGCAGGGCCAGAAGCGGCTCCAGACATCACAAAGCATCACCAACATACGGATCAGCTGTCAGACACTCACTGCCTTGCTCACTTGGCAGTGCCAGCGCCTCAGGAAGAAGGAACCAGATCAGAAATCAGTGCTTCCCTTCATACCACAAAAAGCTCAGCACACAGCTGCCCCAGCACTGCAGCTCCCCATGGAGATGCTGGGGGCAGCAGGGCACAGACCAGCCGCAGGCTCGTGGTGCTGCAGGTGAGTCCTGGGCACACGAGCACTCACTTGCATCGTTGATCTGCTTTGTCAAGCAGAGGGGTCAGCTTCAGCAGGAACTCGAAGGCACAGTTCACATCCTCTGTGAAATCCTGCCACGCACAAAGGCGAGTGCTCAGCTTGCAGCAGCACTGACACAAACCCACTTATCCCTCCCACACCATCTCCCCACTAGAGGAAGGCTGTCAGCACGCAGACTGCTTCCCACCACAGCCACCCTTGCACAGCTCTGGCACCAGCACCGTCACAACAAGCACGGTCCACTTGCACACACGGTGCTGCAAACAGCTCCAACCCGTGTGCCTCACCTTGTCCCCATGGGGATAGTTCTTGAGTTCAACCAGGACCTGAGGGATCTGAAAGACAGGGGACATGTGGACATGACTGAGAGGCAGAGCCAGCGCTGCTGTCAGCACCTCCCGGCAGCACAGGCAGCAGAAGATTGAGCAAAACCCGCCTGCAAGGAGCAGCTGCTCTGCTAGCCCAGCTGAAGGATTTCTGGAGCAGCATTTGCACCCTGGGGACTGTCCTCCCAGCTCCCCTCTGCAGAGCCCTTCCACCATCACAAGGAGCAGCAGGGCACGGCCAGGCAGGGGACTATGGCTGCAGAGCCCAGCACAGGCCAGAGCACGTCAGGCCTGAAATTACACATAAATCCTTCTTGTCTGGCACAAAGACAAGAGGCAAGGCAGACTGCTGCGGGGCTGCCCACCACCGAGCTGTGGGAGTGCCAGCCCACAGACTGCTTTGGCATCCTTCAAAGGCCACCATTTCCCCCCACAACTTCCTAGACAAACAAAACAAAGTGGGGCTGGGCTGAAAAGATGCCCCAGACAGCTAAGCGTGTTGCAGGAGGGCTGCCTGTGGGCTCAGCCATCTTGCATGCAGTCCAGACAGGATGCGATTGTACCACTGCTCAGCCAGGCTTTGGTGCTCAGCAGGGGCCAAACACGCAGGGAAAGGTACAGGGCTCAGAGTGCTGTGCTCACTGTGGAGCTAGGGCCTACCTTCAGGAAGGTAAAGGCTGTCCACTTCAGCTCCTCTGTGCCCTCTGGGGACTCGATGAGGCCCACAAAACATGCCTTCCAGATCTCCAGCATGAAGAGCGGGGAGGGGATGCGCTGCAGGGCACACAGACAGGACCCTCCAGTACCCAATAACAAATGCCCCCAGTCAACCAGGATAAGACACCACTTTTGTACCTGCATCCTCTTCACCATCATCAGCTGCTCCACCAGAGGCTGGATCTCTCCTGTGAGGTTCATGGTCCCCTCCAGCAGCACCACAGCATGCACAGTGGGGAAGCCAGTCTTGTTCAGCTGCTCAGAGCGAACTGATAGCATGGTGGGGATGCTGGATGAGAGACAACAGCCCCAGGTCACGGGAGTCTTGCAGGGATGATCCTTGCTCCCTCTGTCCCACCCTCCCTTTCCAGCAGCACTGCCTTTGGGCACAGCCAAGTCCCCAAATCTCAGCCCAAGGCCCGGCACACGCACTGGAGCAGCTGAGGGATGGCAAGCAGCCCAAGTTAAGAGCCCTCTGCAGCAGGTAGCAGCAGTCCCTAACACATTCCTTAGTTCAGGGCTTCTTGCTGGCCCCAGTCCACCGCCAGCACAGGAGTCTGAGCTGGGAAGGGACAGGAAAGCAGGGAGCCAACGAGGAAGGAGGCAGGATGCTCTCAGTCTTCCCAAGGAGGACTCAGACCCATTTCACTCTCTGAACCCCTGCCAGCAGCTACCTCTTGATGAGGGAGATGCACTCATCAGCCTGGCTTCGCAGCGTGGAGTTGCTGAGGCCATTCAGACTTTCCTCTAGCTTGAGGAGGGATTGCTCCACGGTGTTCCAGGAGGCTGGGAAAGGAGGGCAGGTGTTCAATGGAGCAGGACAGCGACAGGACGAGAAGCCAGCAGGCTGGCTCTAATGCTCACAGCAAAGCAGAGGGGCTGCTGAGTCTGGGGGCTCTCTGCCGAGCAGGAGTCAGAGCACCTCTGCAAACCCAAGCTGAGGATCTGCACGCCAGCCAGCAGCTCCCTGGCACGGCCTCTTGGCCAGGGGACCACGGGGATGTGCAGGGCCGTGCCAGGCAGGCTGGTGGAGCGCAGGACCCGCCGCACACCGGGGAACAGCTCACACAGCCTTCACATTAATTCTGCTCCTCTTCCCAAGGGCAGCGTGGAGGGGAGGGGGCAGAGGGTGGCGTGGAGCCAAGGAGGAGACAGTTACAGCAACAGGGATGGAAGATGGATGGGCTGGGAGCCACAGGGACAATGCGGCAGGAGCTGGGCTGGGGGAAGGGAAGGTGGCAAGGACAGCACCCCGAGGCCAGCAGCAGCCAGGAGCAGAGCACGGCCACCGGGCCCAGGGAGCGACGTACAGGTCTCCTCCAGCTGGGCAATGTGGATCAGGGCACGGTTCTTGGTGCTGCCCAGCATTTTCTCCAGCCGCTCCAGGCACATCTTCATCTGGCCCTCTGCTGCCACCTGCTCCAGCATCTCCTTCACCTTCTCAGCATAGAAGGCCGCGCAGCGCAGGAGCCAGTTCAGGGCACTCATCAGCGCCCGGCACAAACCGATGCACTCCTCTGCTCTGCCGTGGCAGCTGCAAGGAGAGAGAAACACAACCGTGGGCCAAGCTACGCCCCTGTGGAGACCAAGGCTCGGCAGTGGGGCAGCCTGAGGAACCAGACGACATCTCTCACGCCCAGCCCAGCGTGCTCAGCTCCTGGCTCCTGTGCTGCAGCCCCCAGCCCACGAGCATCCCCTCGTGCCAGGGGAAATCAAGTGTACCCAGTGCAGGCTCCTCTCTGGCCGCTCAACTACAGGAAACTTTCCAAGCCTCTAATCAAATTATCTTGCTAAGAAAGGCTCAGCACTGATCAATGTGTTCCAAGAGGTGAACGCTTTCCCCTCCTGATGCACAAATCATCGGGGCCAGAAGTTTTGATCAAATTAAGCGGAGGATCAGATTAGGCAGGAACTGGATTAAGTCACCAGCTCTGCAGTTGGCCAGCAACAGCTCCCTGTCAACATCTGCGACTGATGCACATTCATTGCTGCTGCTTCGCTCCGTGTAATTGAAGAGCTGCTACCTTTAGCCCTGTTTATCCTCCCATTCACCCACACCGCCTGCCTCTTCGCAGCAGCCTCCCAGCAGAGGCTGTCAGGGGTTAACAGGAAGATTTCTCAGCTTTCTATAAAAGTTTTTGTGGCCTGAATTGTCTCCCCTGGGTCCTGCGACACCAGCGGAAGAGCATGGAGCAAAACAAGGCAGCTGCATGAAGCGCCTGGGGCAGCGCAGGCAGAACCACGAGCACTGGCAGCCAGGGATGTGCAGCCAGAGCCCTGGGAAGCCACAGAGGCCACACGAGAAATAAAACGTAGAGGGAACAGAAGCCCTCAGGCTTTGGGGCTTACACCAACCCGAGCAGAGCAGCAGTATCGTGGACATGGTCATAGCCCAAAATAGGTGGGGTTCTCACAGCTTCCCACAAAGCCGGTGGGGTTCCAGGCTCCCCCTGCTCTGCCCATGCTGACATCTCAGCCTAGAGCAGCTCAGGACGAAAGCTGGGATGGGGAACGGCCTCCCTCTGCCAGAGCAGGGACCACGCAACGGGGCGAGTGCCAGAGCCTGTGGGAGCTGCAGGCTGCGAAGGGCTGCGTCGTACCTGAGGCGGTCGCAAAACATGTCCATGATCTCCAGCAGCGACTGCACGCACAGATCCCGGGAGAAGTCATCAAACTACAGCAGAACAAAGAAGGATTTCAAACAGGGCTGCCAAGCTCCAAAAAACAACAGTGGGGCGCTCGCCCCGGCAGCCACCCAGCAGTCAGATGAACAGAACTGGGTCAGGGCTGTCCTTCAGCTGGGTCGCGCCCTCCCAGGGCAGCGGGAAGCCAAGGGGCCACGGCAGTGGGGCTGAGGCCGCGTTTCTGAGCGGCGCCTCTGAGATGCAGCGGGGGTTGGAGCTCCGTTTGCAGCCCCCCCCGCTCCTCACGGGCTGCATTGACACGACGGCGGCTCGGCGCCAGCCCACGTCCCCACCTCCAGCTCGGTGGGGCTGGCAGCGAGCACCGACAGCTCGACCGGCCACGGGGACGGCAGCAGCGCCACCACCGCCTGCTCGGCCGAGCAGATGGGGCCACCCCACTGAGCAGGAGCTGGCCTGCGGGCCTGCACTGAGCCCACGCTGCTCTGAAGGAGGAAACCGCGGCTGTCAAGGTCAGCGCTTCTCCACCAGCCTCACCACAATGGGCAGCAAAGGAGAGCACGGCCCTACGCCAGCTCTGCCACCCCGCTGAGGGGCCGAGCCTACCGAGGGGCTCAGCGTGCTCACGGCACGGCTCCGGGTGCTGGCAGCGTGGGGGGAGGCAGAGCAGGAGCCTGCCGGGCCCCACAGGGTGCAGGGACGCAGTTTCCACGCCCGCAGCACGTGGGACCGTGCCCAAAGCAGAGTGGGAGCTGCTGGTGGGTGTCCCCAGTGGGCTCGTGCCCTGCGCCGTGCCGTCTGCCCGCTGCTGACTCAGCACAGGATGTCATTTTACACTTGACCTATATTTGGTGAGAGCCGTGGGATGGGAAACGGATACGCGGATCGCAGGTAAAGAGAAAAGCCTCAGCCAGCAGCTGTCGGAGCCGTACCTTGCTGATGGCCATCAGCACTGTGGAATAAGACACCATCTACGAACAAAACACAAAACCAAAACAGCGGTGTTGGAAAAGAGCAGCGGGTGCTGCCTGCGAGCGCGGTGCTCACGGCCGAGGGGCAGCGAGGTCAGGGCACGGCCCCACGGCCTGTCACCGCAGCCGGGCGCTGACCCGGCACAAATCCAAACAGACATTTTTAGGTGACCGCCGATTTGTTTCGCACAAACTTTAGACAGCATCAAATGCTGCAGGAAGGAAGCACGGAGCTGCCAGGCAGAGCAGAAGCTCTCGGAGGACGAGGATTTCCACCCTGCGTGCAGCAGGCAGAGGCAATTCACAGAAACAACCCCGCCCCGGGCGCACGCTGAGCCCCCCACCCGTCTGAGCCGAGCACGACGCCTGCAAGGTGCAGACATTGGGGTGTCTGCCTGTCAGCTCTGCACCCTGGGCTCTTGGCTTGCTAATTGGGGCTGCGAGGCGACACCCAGCAGCACTGCAATGTGGGGCACCGTGCAGGGAAAGCCATTACCTGGGAGCTGATAGCGTACTTCAGGTAGGACAAGATGAGTGGGTTCGGCGACGGCCCGATCATCGCCTGCTCGAGCAGAGCCTCTGCAAGCAAAGAGAGGCACCTGTGGCAGGCAGCACACAGCATGGGGACACGCAGTGCCCTTGTTTCTGCTCTCACCCGCAGGCAAGATGGCAAAGACAACTGGCGCCAAGTCCAACAGCTCTGCACAATGCTTCCCTGAAATCAACCCAAACCCCAACGTTTCTACTCCTCAACGGCAAAAGGTTGCAAATAATTCAGGCAGTACCGGCAGCCTCCTGCTCATTCACTTCACCCTGGGCCTGAAACCGCACCTGCTGCTCTCCAAGCATCCTCCCCTTCCTCCCACCTCCTGCCCAGAGGCTCAGGCATCCACCAGCCTGCCATTTGTGCTCTGGTACCCGGGGCCGGACTGCGGGCACACGGCCGCTCTCGGTCAGGACGGTTCCTGTGCGTCTGGCACTCCCTGCTGCTGGCAGCCGGCCAGGGAGGCTGGAGGGGCTCTGCCCGCCCTATCTGCTCAGTCAAGCCTTTAATTGACCATTTGAACTAGTGCAGAGTGCAGGAACCACCTCCCAGAATCAGGCCCCGGGCTGTGGCACTGGCTGTAAGTAGGTCAGGGCACCCAGATGCAAGAGGGGCAGGCCAGCTCCCCGCAGCCAGCACGGAGCAGCAGCCGTCGGCAGATCCCGGCTGCAGGAGACACCTCGGAGCCCGGCAGAAGGCTGCGACCGCGGCCAAATGCATCTCAGCACGAGGACAGAAGGCTGACGGCAGCCTTCCCCTCCCATCTAATCAGGGAGCGTCAACACGAGCCAGCCACACGCTGTTACCCACTGCAGGCACGTCAGCATCAATTTGCTGGGCAGTGCCGTGATCCGGGTGGCTCGTGCCAGGTTTTCCTCCTTTGTGGTTGAAATCTGAAAGGCACGAGCTGGGGGGAGGATGAGCTGAGGGGGGCTGCTTGGAGAGGTGCTCTGGATGCGACGGCTGCCCACCACCTGCCCCACATCCTGCAGCAAAGGGACCCAGCTCCATCCTCACCAAGCTGAGCCCTGGGCTGACAAGCCTTTCCTTGGTGGACGCACTGAGAGGCGACCAGGAGAAACCCGCTGCTACAGAAACTGTCAGCTCAGCATCCTAAGCCGGAACCCAGTAACAACTATACTGGTGGGTGGGTCAAAAGGCCACCGTGGCGTGAGCTCAGGGGATGAGAAGCACAGAGGTGCTTTTTCCCTTTAAATGCCCCACTGTGAGCCTGCAGCAGCACTTTGTTTTTGTATATCCCAGGCTTGCAAACACACGCTGCCTGCGCAGGAAAAAAGAAAACACAAAACCCAGCAGCACGTTTCTATAATTGCCATAAAGGCTGGCAAATCTTTAAACCGCGTAACGTGGCGGGCACAGAGCTTGGCTGGGCTGCTGACAAACGGCCTTGAATGGGGCCGGGGAAACAAATGCTCACAAATGGGAGCAGGGAGCAGCCCTGGGGGCCTGGAGCAGCGCCTCCAACACGGCCCAGCACGAGGATGGGGTCCCACCCCCGGGCCACGCACACCCAATGGTGTCCTCGGGGGCAACGGAGGCACACCACCAAGGCACGCCCCAGAGGCTGCGGCCCCCCCCGCCCTCGGACCTGCCAGGTTGAGGATGTCCCAGGTGGCTCCGCGGGGAAAGAAGCGCTTCATGTTGATGGCCCATTGGTAGTCGCTCCAGCGCTCCTTCCAGGCCTGCAGGATGGCCTGCTTCAGGTTCACCACCTTCATGGCTGCGCTCTGTGGGAACGGAGAGGCCTCGCGGCCGGGCCTCGGGGCGCACAGCGAGGGCCGGAGCCGGGAGATCGCTCCCCGTTCTCTCGGCTCCGCTCCCGGCCCTCAGGCCTCGTCCGCAGAGCTCCTCACCCGCCGGCTCCGCTCGCTCAGCGCCTGGGCACCGCCATGTTGGCACCCGCCAGCAAGCCGCGCGCTGATTGGACGGCGGGGCGGCGCGGGGCTTGCTGGGAGATGTAGTTCACGGGGCCTGGTGGGGGGTGCGGAGAAACGCTCGGGGTGTGCGAACGTGGGGGTGTGCAAAATGAGTTGGTGCGAAATGGGTGGCAAAAGTGGAAGCTCATGGTGGGCAAACACTGTGTGCAAACGCATGGAGGCGCAAATGTGGGGATGTGCGAACATGGGAGAGTGCAAACTGCAAATGAGATTGCAAACAGAAGCTTGCATTTTTGAGCAGTGTGTGTGCAAGTGAACAAGGACGCACATATAGGGTATGCAGATGTGGAGCTGTGCAAACATGGGGGTGTGCAAACAGACAGCAAATGCCACTGATGGCAAATGTGGAAACACTGCATGCAAATGGGTGCACATGCACGGCGTGCAAATACAAGGCTGTGCAAACATGGAGTGTGCAGAACCTCAGCGAGTGAGACTGCACATGTGCAAGCTTGTGGGTGTGCAAGCACAGCATGCAAAGGTGTGAGTGTGCACACGGTGTGCAAACACAGGGGTGTGCAGGTATGGATGTACAAAATCGACTGTGCACCCCTGTGCAGGTGGGCACGCCGATGGGTGTGAGCACGCCTGGCTGTGTGCTTGTGCACGGATGCACACGCATGTCTCTGCAGTCACACGCGTGTGGGCTCACAGATACACGGGCAAAATCCCAGCAGGATTCCCGCCACCATCGCCATGGCAACCAACAGATGGGGAGCGGGCGGGGGGCTGCAAACCAGGGGGGGGCAGCACCTCCAATCTGCCGCCACATGGCCCCAAATCCCAGCACGGTGCGAAGCCCCCCCAGGGCCGTTGCCGCACTGCACCTCCTGCCCCAGGGCAGGCAGGGCCCCCCCGCAGCCTCCAACCCCCCCCCCCCGCTGTGCTCGGGGGTCTCCGCGGCCCCTTAATTCCCGTGTTAATCATTCATGGGGCCGGGGCGTGCGGGCGGCCGCAAATCCCCCATGGCCGCAGCCAGGATTAGCGGGTGAGCTGCGGCCCAGCCGGCGAGGGGCCCGCGGGGCTGGGGGGGGCTCTATTCATGAGGACGGATTTCCTGTGCTGGGCACGGGGCTGGGGGGGTCCTGCAGCTGCCGAGGGGGAACCGGACACTGCAGGCTGCGGTGCCGGGGGGCTGAGCGGCAGCGTAGGCTTCATGGGGCTGTAGGCCTTGTGGGAGCAGGAGGTACGGTGAGACTCCCCCCCCAAAAGAAGTGACCCCTCCCCCCTATGAGGACGACCCCCCCCCCCCCGCTGTGCAGAGCTCTGGCTGGGGGGCTGGGGGGCGGCTGAGCCCCCCCCCCGTGCTGGGGAAGGCGCCGGGGCCCAGGCCCGGCTCGGCGCTTGGCAGGGCGCCGCGCACAGCTGCCTGCAGCCGGGGGGGCCGGAAGGGGCTGGGGCCGTTCCCAGCAGGCTGAGGAGGGGGGGGAGGCACTGAGGGGGAGGTGACCCCACCACCCCAACCCCTGTGCTGCTCCCCTCCCCCCCGTCCTGCTGTTTGATGGGTTGTAAAGCGTCACAAGGACGTCCCCGTGGGGACACCAGGTCCAGCGTTACCCCCACATCGGGGCGGCCGGGGGCTGCAGGGACGGGCTGCTTGTGCCCCCCCCACATCCTGCAGGGTCCCTGTCCCACATGGGGGATGATGCAGGGATAAGGGATGAGGATGGACAGAGCCGGGTGCACCTCACGGGGGGGACGCCGGCGGCCCCCAGTCCTGCCTCAGTTTCCCCACCGCTCCCCCAGGGTGGGGGGCAGTGGCTCAGCCCGGCCCCGGCCTTATCGCAGACAGACGGCGGTGGCGGGGGGGCTGTGGGTGCGCTGTGTTTGCTGAGGATAAAGTGTACGGCACGGCACGGCGGGGCTGGGGGCACCGACACCCCTCCCTGCCACGCTGGCGGTCCAGCTGCAGGGAGGGAGGGGGGCAGGGGGGAATGGGAGGGAGCAGGGGGCATGCAGGGCTGTGGGGACAAGGAGGGGTCATGGGGTCATGGGGACTGCGTGAACCAGGGGAGACACGGGGACCATGGGGACCGAGTGGGGACACAGAGCTGTGGGGACCAGAGTGGCCGTGGGGAGAGAGGACATGGGGTGCTGGGGACCGTGGGGATCAGAGGGACGTGGAGCTGTGGGCAGCACCGCGGGGAACAGTGCTGGGGTGGGAACGGGAGGATCTATTTGTGGCTGTGCCAAAGGGACCCCATCCCCAGGCACTGCTGTCCCTTGGGTACCACTGTGCCATCGGTGCCACCAGCCCTCGGGTGCCACCATCCTCTGGGTGCCACTCTGTCTCCTTCACGTCCCCATCCTCTGGGTGCCAGTGTGGCTCAAGAGCCACCCTAAACTCCCCCTCCCTCCCCGAGTACCCGCAACCCCCGGGGGCTGCCGTGAGCTTCGTTGTCCCTGCCCCACCGGTGTTCCCATCCCCTGGGTGCCCCATCCAGCGGGGACCCTCTGCGTTGGGGAAGGGGGGTGGGGACACCCCGCCATGACAGCGGCCCTTTAAACCCGAGCACTATGGGAAATGTAGTCCGGGAGGGGGTGGGGGCAGAGCGCGGGGGCCGCTGGGAAAGAAGTGGGGTGGGACGGGAGGGTCGCGGGCTGCAGGTCCGGTGCCCCTCACTCCGTCCCCGGTGACCCCCATAGGGCCCGTGTGACCCCCCCCCCCCCCCGGACCCTGCGTTGTGGGGCAAGGCCGGATCTGCCCGGGGACACGACGGGTCTTGGGGGGTTGGCACAGCGGGCGCAGCTCCCGCATTACACCTGGGCAGCGTCCCCCGCCGGCCCGCACTGTCGCTCCGTCCCCACGGGCGCCTTCCCCAGCCGTGGGCAGTCCCCCATCCCCGCGGCACCGTCCCCGGCTCCCTGTGGCCGCCGTCCCCATCCCAGCACGGCGCCATCGCTGGGCCTCCGTCCCCCGCCGTCCTTCGTCGCCGTCCCCGATCTGGATGGGCGCCGTCCCCAGTCCCGCTCGCGCGTTGCCCCCTTCGCCGCCACCGCTCCCCGCCTGACGTCCCCACGGCCGGCGCCCCGCGGGCACCGTCGCCGTCCCCCTCGACCTCCGTCCCCGTCCCCTCACCCGCCGCCCCTTCTCTGCTCCCCGCCCCCCGTGAGCCCCCATCCCCCATCCGTCGGGGCCCGGGGGAGCGGTGGGAGCGCGCAAAGAGCGCGCAGGGGCAGCGCGCAGAGAAGGCGCAAAGAACGCGCAAGGAGCGCGCAGAGGCGCGGCGGGGCTGCAGGGAGCGGCTGCGGCCGGCGGAGGGGGCTGCGGCCGCGGCGGAGCGGGCGGGCGGCGCGGCGGGGCCGGGGGAGGAGCCTGGAGGAGCCGTCGGCCGCCGCCGCCGCCGCTGCCGTGCGCCCCGCTCGGCCCCGCTCCGCTCCGCTCCTCTCCGCGCTCCGCCCCGGCCCCGCTCAGCGCCCCGCACGGCCCCGCGCTCAGGTACGGCCCCGCCGCGCCGATGTTTACCGGGGGGGCCCCCGCGCGGCCCCCGTTGAGCTCAGCGCAGGGTCGGGGCGTGCAGCGGTGGGGGGGGGGGCTGGGAAGGGAAGGGGGGGGAGCGCGCACCGAGCGCGCACCGGGAGGGGAAATGCGGGGCAATGCGGATGGGGGTTTGCGTGCCTTATTTTTGTATTTCGGAGGAAAAAAAAGAATCCGAGCGTTCCGCGGAGCGGGGGGGGGAGGGACGGACCGAACCCTCAGCGCTCTGCCCGCGCCCCCAACCGCTCTGCAGCGCGGGGCTGTGAGCCGGGAGCCCTGAAGGAGGGGGGGGGTTGAGCCCCGCACGCCGCCCCCTCCGCGCTGTTTCCCCCCCCTCCCCTCCCCTCCCGCGGCGGCTGCGTGGCTGCGCCGTGCCCGTGGGCCTGCATTGCTCCGGGCCGGGGCCGTGCTGGGGGGGGCCGTGCCGTGCCGTGCCCCGTGGCCGTCCCCGCCCCGCGCTTGGCAGCCGGCGCCAGGAATGCCGTGACGATTTTTTTAATTTCCACCCCCCCCTCTTTTTTTTTTTTTTTTTTTTTTTAATATATTTTTTTCATACCCTGGAAGCGCAGCGCTTTTTTCCTTTTTTTTTCTTTTTTTCTTTTTTTTTTTTGTGTGTGTGTGCGCGCAAGCGTGTGTATTTGCGCTGCTTTTCGAAGGGGGGGGGGGGGTGGTGCTCCGAAACACCGCGGTCGGGGTTGCGGGAGGGGCGTGGCGGGGGCTGCCCTCCCCGGGCCCGGCCCCGCGCACGCCGCTCCCGCACCGGGGGGGGGGGGGGGAGCAGAGCCGCTTCTTGCCCCCCCCCCCCCCCCCCGCCCCCAAACCCCGGCCTCGGGGAGGAGCGCGGAGCTGCGGGCAGCGCTGGGGAAACTGAGGCATGGGCCAAGGTCACCCCGCGCGGCGTCCCCCGACCTTCAGCCGTGTGCGCGGGGTGACACCGCGGTGACCGAGCGCCGGGGGAGGGGTGGGGGGGACACACGGCCGCTCTCACCCCGCGTGACCCCGGTGCGGGGCGCGGGCTTTCCGCGGGGCGTGGAGCGGAGGCGATGCGGGCCCGGCGGATCCCGTTCGCGGAACGCAGCGCGGGGCCACCCCTCCCACCCTGGGGGTCTTGGGGGGGGAGGGGGGTGGTGCGCTACGGAGCTGAGCCCCCGCCCCGTGCGCTGCGTTGCGCTGCAGTGGGGGGGGGTCCCGGGGGGCGGTTTGTGCGGTGCTGGGGGGGGCAAAGCGCGCAGCCCCTCCCCTCAGCGCTGTGCGTGGTCCCCCTCCCGTAGCACCGCAACCCCGCACCCCCCGTTGTCCGCTGCGCACCGCGGAGGGCTCGGTGCAATCCTCCCCCCCGCCCCGGCCCTACAGGCGCTGGGTGCTGCGTGGCGGCAGGCTCACGGCCCCGGCCCTTCCTGGGGGGGGCTCGGCACCAGGAAGCCGCCCCCTCCCCGCCACGCACTGTCCCGGGGTAAGGAGAGGAGAGGAGAGCAGAGGAGAGGCGGCCGCCGGCAAAGCCCGGAGCAGCGCAGATGGACGGGACGGAGCCCGGGACCCCTCCGTGCCCCCCCCACACACACATACACCCCAAAGGCACTGAGTGGGGCCGGGTGGGTGGGGGCACGGCGGCTGCACCGGGGTCAGTGGCACAGTGACAGGGGGACACTGGTGTGCATTGCCAGGCACCGTGTGGGCACCAACGCGTGCAGTCTGAGCATCACCGGGCGCAGTTTGAGTGTCACCAGGTGCAGCTCGGTGTCACCGGGTCTGTTTTGGTGTCGCCAGGTTCAGTTTGAGCATCGCTGGAGACCGTTTGGTCTCAGGGTCACAGGGCACGTGTCGGTGTCACTGGGTTTGGTGTCACTGGGTATGGTTCAGTGTCACCCCCAGCCCTCAGCACTGGGCACACTGCAGGTCCGTCCCCCCCCCCCAGTGCCAACACCCCTTATGGTGTCCCACCAGCATTGCCCACCCCATGTGCCTCATGGCACAGTGCTGGCACTGTCCCCCAACCCACGACCCCACAGTTCATCCCCCTCCCAGCACACACAAACCGGAGCCCCCACTGCTCTCCCCGATTTAGCAACGTCCCGAGCCCCGTGCCAAGCTCCCGCCCCGTGGAGCTGAGAATAGCTCCCGGCGTCCCGGCACGCGCAGGGCTCAGCCCTGGGGATGGGGGCACCCACAGAGCTGGGGGCCTGCAGCCATCCCGTGGGCACTCATCACATCCCATGC